AATCCGAGCACGTGGCATCATAGCCCACCCTTCCTATACTGCATGTGACAGTTGCAGAAGCGTTTGGGGGACCGGGTCACCCTGGCATAGACGTATGTCCAGTTCGTCCCAGTTATTCAAAGACATTCATTGTTACACGTTCCTGTGTGTGGTCTGGCATTGTCCTGCTGAAATATTTCTATCTGTGGATATAAAATGGGAAGCATATGACGTTGCCCTTTGCGAAACAAGTTCACTTCTGTCGGCGTAGAAGGTTCCCGGCATCGCGGCGCTACCTCTACCGAATCTGTCAACCTGCACGACGCAGTCTTGGTAAAACTTTCATTGCGACGCCTGTGCACACGTTGTCCCCCATCACGTCGTTTTAAAGGAAACATACCTCGTCGCTGAACCGTTCTCGTTTGTACAGACACACCTTTCATACATGGCACGCGTCCAGAGTCGTTGCAGTAGGGTGACGCAAGTGCAGAACCCAAATGTAGCGATAGTCTGCAGCATTTGTCATACGAGGTGCAGAATAAGTGCTCTGGTGGAATTTCGTGTGGCGTGTGACTGCTTACTGCGATTCATCTACCCCGAGGAGGCCTTAGTCTGTAAATTCGTCGACACCATTGCGGGCATCGCAGCTTTAAATACCCAACACTACCAAAATCTGTTCCCAAGAGTTTCAAATGCATTCGACAAAATCTGACCTTTTCACGCCGATTTCCTGCAATTTTCGCATGTGTCACATTTGGACCTGTTGAGTCATTGCAGAAACATTACGAAATATGGTCATTCATCAACATTGTAAAACCAAACCCTTTTCTTCTTTCCATATCATCTATGCGTTTCTTTTTTGAAAGAGTACAAAATTATCTATATATTTGAAAAGTTATCATTTTTGTACTATCTTTAGCTGGACAGCACCGACCGAAGTTTCAAAAAAATATAAGCCTATCTGTGAAAGACTTGTATAAAGTCGATGGTTTTCATTTATTGTTGTACATAGTCCCATTCCTGGTGTACACACTTCTGCCAACGATGTTGCAAGGTCTGGATGTCGACTAGGAAGAAATTATCTTTAGCCACCTTAAAAAAAAGTCGTTCACAGCTAACATGACGTTATCATTACTAGGAAAATGACGACCGGCTAGTTCGTTTTTCATTTTTAGAAACAGGTGGATTTTGGTTGAAAGTGATGAATCCAGGTTTCATCCATGGTTACAAATCTGGCCCAAAAATTATCAGAATCTGCTTCAAAATGGCGCAGATTGTCAGGCATCTGAAACGTTTCTAATTCACAGTCAAGAACTTTGGCATCCATCTTGCAGAAATTTTGTCATTCCTAACTCGTTGGCGATAATGTGTTCAACAACAGTCGCAATATGTCGAGTGGTCAATCGGCAATCAGCCATGGCCATGTCATGCACCTGGGTAATGTTTTTTTGAATGGTTGCTGTTGATGGTGAGATGAAATGGTGTTTAACGTGGTACTTTTGTGCACTTTCCCGTCTAATTAAGACGGACCTCTTGAACAAATTGGATAAAAAAAACATCATTCTGTTTGGTTGCTGAAACGTTTTATGATAGAGTGTTTCATAGAGTCGATGAAAATAAAGGTACGCAACATGTTTAATCAATTCTTGGCTGTTATAAAATAGGTTCCGTATGAAAACAGCCAAAGAGTATAATACATCTGATACCAATTCCCAAAAGTGAATCACATAAATGTCTGTTGTACTTTTGTATCGTTTATTACGAAAATTTAGCCACTTGAAATTAAATAATGGCCATTATTTTCCAAGATGGTCGCCATTTTCAGCTTGAGTGACACATTTTGTTTAGCAGAATTTTACCTACCGGGCCAATTGTGAGGATTTTTGTATGTACGCTCGTTTTTGTAAGTTTTGAACCATGAGATAGTCATTTTTTTTTTTATCATCGGGGCTCAGTTGTGCCCTTTTCAAAGCAGATAATGTGAAAATATATACAGACACGGGGTAACTGAGAGCACAATTTTATTATTATAGGACATGCATTAATACAAAAATAATTACACCATCTGGAACTCATGGGCCACCAAGTTTAGCCCACTAGCCTAAGTCCTCCGCGCGGGGCCCTGTTCCTGGTCAATTTGGCCCATGCCAAAGCTGTGCTGTGCCCAGTAGCGTGGGAGAGTCGGCGAGATGGTAGTTTTCGGAAATGACGTTTCTGGGGTTTATGTCAATTTTCATAATGATTTCTTTTCTAATTTGGTTATAAATTAGCTGTCCCAGGTATGTTTACAGTTATGTGCAAATACCGGCGAATAGCGCCCTTTCCATTGGACAGAATACGAAGCCAACGACCAACCGGCCCAACCGCCCCTCGTTATATATGAGGCGCCCCCCAAATGGTGAGGCTCCCCATAATGAATCACACGATTAAAGTCACAATTTGATTGATGTGGCGCCGAAAACGGCGTGATCTGTCGGGTGCCTTTTTCCGGAGGGGCGCCCACAATGACAATAGAGACTTTTGGCAAGCGTAAATTCCTGGTCCGCTTCGCTTATCCGTATGGATTGTGCATGTGACGTCATCAATGTGTGTGTATTTCTCATACGTGATACGGCACACGGATACAGCAGCACGTATCGAACAGCTTTCATACGCAAAAGTTCCGTATAACATTGTCGTCTTTTTACCGTCAATTTTGCTACCTTTAGACACTGAAATGTTGTATCATAGCGTTTTTATGAATCTATGTGTATCCTAGAACACGAGGGTGTGTATTTAATGTGATTTTAACCATGATAAAGACAGGAATTTAATCATTAGCTTTGATGGTTTTTGCTAAGTATTGTCATACCTTTCCTGTCCGTCTGCTTGCTGGTTGATCTACGTGGTAAATGTAGTGGGGTGCGACCTTGCAAATTTTGAAATGATTTTATTCTATGGTAATGGGGTATAAACTTTCTGAAATGATACATAGTGAAACCAACAATTTTTTTAATGGCTCAGCGACGGTCGAGCGACTTCGCCCCCTCTTGGAAATTGTAGGCTAGACGCTCTGTCATCATGCTGTAATAGAACTAAGCTCAGCGAAAATCTGCCAAAACTCTAAAACTACATTGACGCGACGCATCACGTATACGATACGGATACGTGATACGGATGGGAAACATTCCGCTTGCCAAAAGTCTCTAATATATGATTGTCCGCACGCATATCATGCATAATACCGAGTGAGATTGATTCAAGCCCGCACCAGGCATGATAATCTTCAAAATTCAAACAAGCCGCACTCTAACCCGATTCCGAACTTTTCATTTTTCTCATAAATTATTATATAGGTACGCTAAAGTCGTATTCCTTCCTTTAAATTTTTATAATATTCATATCAAAATATAATACGCCAATATCCCAAATTCAGTCTTAAAATTGAAATTTTCCGTCTTTTTCATAGATCCTCTCCTCAGATGCATTTTATTTCCTTGGGGGAGAGCAACCTAGCCCCCCCCCCCGTCCCAAAAAAACAAAACATTTTGCGTTTTGAGATTTTATTTAAATAGCTGTATTAAAAATAAATTATCATTATTATTATTATTTTTAAAAAATATGGTCTGTAACTTAGAAATGTGCAAGAACCCCCCCCCCCCCCCTTTGATTTCCTCTACGGAACATTTGCTGAGCCTATATATTTATACATAAATGAATAAAAACATCAGAGCACAGTGATATATTTGTTGTATATGAAATTTACTTGGAACTAGGCCCTTACCGATTAATTCCGTGATACCTTGTGGATCACAACAGTTTTGTGATATGATCAGTTAATGTAAACGGTTCCAGGCGAGCGGTGGCCTTCCGCATGTTTATAATTCAGTAGTATCAAACGGGACTAATGGCAAGAACTTACCTGTCTTGGTTACCATGGTGATTGATAAACGTCTCCTCCTTTGGTGATGGTGCACTTACAAGCTCTCATAACTTTCAAACGTTATCGGTCCGCTTTATAGTTATGTTATGGTAATGAGCTGCATCGACCTTTTAAAATATTGGCTTGTATTCGCACTAATAATATACTGTATTCCCAAGCTGCTACAGAATCTTTCTGTGTTATAAATGAAACTATTAGTGTTCATGATGATTGTATCTAGTATATAGGCCATTTAACGCAATAACCAAAATGAGCAGGGTAAACTAGGCCTTTAAAGTGAATATAGAATTTGGTATAGAAATTGATTAAATTCCATCAAAACATCAAGAATTAATTTGGTATTTGTTGGAATTCCCATAAAGCAATGAACATAGCAAAATCAGCATAAAAAGTGCATGTCAAATTTGATGGAATCCCCAAAACCTGTATTAAAAGTAGACAACGATGTAATAGAGAGTAATAACTTGGATAAGATATTATCAATGAAAACTTTGGACACTGGAACATTCACAAGAAAGTAATCAATGACAATAAATGCAATTGACAGAAATCGTTGAAAATAAATAGGCTTTTCTATCTCTAGTTTTAAAAGAAAATGAGATACAACAAAATGTACAGAGTGTGGTGCCTTTTCTGCGCTTTTTTGTATCCCAGCAATGATCAAAGTTTAGCACTCAAGGTAAAAAACTGACATTCGAGAGGGTGGATAATCTATGGAAATCAAGACTTCTATTAAAGATGTGGCTATGGTTGTTGTTTAAAAAGAAATAAGGTACTCAACCAGAACTGACATCGGGTCATTGAATGAAGGTAGTCAATAATTGTAGATGAATTGCTAATTGTGTACACAAACATAAGTTCTAGGGTCAACCTGCTGGCTATTACTACAGAATGATGGACATTTCCACGACACAATTCTCATCAACTACTTAAAATGTCAGTCTCCTATGGCCTTAATCCACACACAGACGCAAATATATATTGATCAAATGTCTATATATAATATATTTAGACTACATTTCAGGTTATATTCCTGTACAATTCCTGTTGTATATAGTTTCCATTAACTATCATCATTGTAAACCACAATACCAAACTATTTCATGGGGAAAAGCTTTATATATGTATAACAAATATTATACAATTTATATACATTTTATCATGCAATGTAAAATATTATTTAAAAAATATATGATTTCGTTATTAAATATTATTATATGATGAACATATAAGTCTTTCAATTTCCACAAAAAGCATGTATCCAGGAATTTGTTTTGGCAGAGTGAGTAAGAAAGAGCACCAAGACAAATTTTTTATTTGATTTCCCATCCCAGAAATGTTCCATTGGCCTGTCTAAATGACAGATATTTATTAAATATCTCCTTATTTTCCCAAATTGTTAACGTATGGATAAATGGTGGAACTTGTTTTGTTGGGTGTTTATTTCCGGGGGAGGGGGGGGGGGGAGAGATTATTTTCATTTGACCCCCTGGTCCATACACTACCCTTGGTTTAACCAATAAACCTTGATTATTTGGCGCCTACTTGGCCATGGCAGGGGATTGGCCAAGCCAAAACTACACACGTCCCTTAGTCCTGAATTGAGGCTACTATAGGTGATACATCTCTTTAATAGATCTATGTAGAATATTCTCAGTGGTATAGTAAAAAAAAACAAAAACAAGCAGTATTCATTATATAATTAGAAATTATTGATAGGTCATGGATAAACTTTATGAATTGATAATACCCAAATGAATTTGCATCATTTCAAAAATGGCCATCATTATGCATGTAATCGGGCTAACCTTTATCTTTGATTTTTTTTAACATACCAGTACCAGCGGTAGCATTTTGCTGACTATGAATTTTATGATTTGTAGCAGATTGTAATTAGTTCCTTAACATAATATTCCCCAACAACATATGACTTAGTCAATGATTCAAGGGGAACTCTTAACAATATATTATTTAACAAAGCACTATAACACTTTAACTATAATATATAACCATTTAATAAAAGTACAATCTGATTAAAACACAGATCCTATTTCGTTTCGTTTTTTTATAGTTCAAAATTTTGTTTTACTTGTCTTTACTACATAGGATCTGGAAGAGTTGTTATATAACCCACGTTTTGGTTGATGTGAGGGATTAGCCAATGAAACAGTCTGTTGCAGCGAGTTCTTAGCGTGCGATGCACGGAACTGTGGGTATCCTACTAGAAACATCAATGCTGATTGATTAATTAAATGTCTGATGTCATAGGGTCAAAAGCCGCATGTATTACCCCATGTAGTAGAGGCCATTGAAAGTATAAAAAAATGAAACGAAATATAGATTTGTATTTTAATAAGATTGGTAAAAGTATAGACATGTCATATTCAAACATGTCATATTCAACAACTTGCCTGGGACACAGCCATGAATAGGACATCCAGGTATTTTTTAATTTTTGGACAAGCTTTGTTTTTCAGGGGCCTGCTATCACAGTGCCAACCTTAATCAAGAAGAAGAGATTTTTACACCAACCAACTACTTGTTTTTGGTAAATTGTTGATTTTTTTTTTTTTTTTTTTTTCTGAACCACAGAATCTTATATATTTAAGATTTAAAGAATTTCATTGCCAATAGTTGTAGAAAAATATAAATTCATCATGGCATGATTATAACAATAAACAATATGGCACCTTTATATAAATAACAGAACTAGTTTATGACTGTCACTTTACTGGATAAAGCTGAATCACTGTTAGAATTTGTTAAACTTCTTTCATCTATTGCACTGAAAAAATACAAGATTATTTACATGTATTTTAAGACATTTTAAAATTATATAGTTTCCTGTAGACTGTATATCATTACATCAGAGGTGCATTACTTATTAAAAAGAACCACTTGTTTATCTTCTTTCAGAATGGCTCTGCTGATAGCTGCCAATAAAGAGTGTAAGAAAAACAACTGCAATTTTAATTGCCAACCTAAGATCGTTTTTCAACAAAATACTTCTTCTTGTTGGGCTAGAATCTGTGCTAACTTTTGTGATTTTTGATTTGAGATGTGAATGAGATAAATTAACAGAAACATTAAGAATTGTTATATCATGTGAAAGCTCTTTCAGTGTTATACAAAATAAAATTATATATGTTTTGCCACTAGTTGCTAGATATGTAATAGTTGCCAAGTAAGTTAACCTCATTTGTAATTTTTGATTCTGTTACAACTTAAGTTTTAAGACTTGCCAGAAAGAATGGGAAGCAAAGTGTAAGAGTGTTTAGAATATATATAACCCTATATAACACCTGATAGTTTCATCCAAGTATTTTAATATAATCTTATTTTAAAACAATTTTAGTTAAATAAGTTGGTTAGTTTGTTGTTATAATATGATTACAAGATTAGAAATATTTTATGACTACAAGTACATCATGTTTGTAGGTTTGTAGGTTTTATAACATCACATGAAGGTTACTATATAAAATTTGTTTTATGAAAAACAAGTTAAAGAGACATTTCACTGAGGCAACTATACAAGGTTGGTTGTATGCCTATGATAGTCTGATACATGACATCAGAACAGTAAAAGGAGGAGGATGGTGGTATGGAACATAATTCAGATACTACAAAGGATGATGGGATTCCCCATCACCAAATAAATAATTACAGTAAACATATAAATATTAAGCACCAACTATTTGAATTTAGAAGTAGTAGCCTTTACCATTCTACCCAGGAATGAAAACAATATCAGCACTATACAACAATATTACTATAGGAGGGGATGTTTGTTTCTAAAAAATACTACAAGAATTAATTTTCGATGTTAAAAATGGGTAGGTGATCAAGGCACCACGATAGCGAAACTATCAGAATGAACTATGTTAATATTACAAAAAGACATAACAACTGATTTCAGTCATCATGAGTTATGGATCCTCTATTTCATAGGTGTACATTCACAAAAACAGCAGCCAAAAAAGGGGGACAACTCTTGTTAAACATGGGTGTAATCCAGCAATCCAGAATTTGATTAATCAAGACACTTTTTATGCATGTTTTTATCATAACATATACGTATGCATAATTACCTGGCACTTTGTGTTGTTAAATTATCTCTACTGGCAGATTTATTACGTCTCTGTGTGGGTGCACTGGGAGGAGGCATTAAAAATCGGTCTTTAGGTTCACTTCCCTAGTGACGAAGAAAATATTTACAAGATAAATTTTAGTTCTCAGATTCCTTAATGAACTCTAATCTATATGGAGGCAGAGATGGGATTTAGGCTCATATATTCCGGACATGTACGACGCTTTTTTCTCAACGTCCTAAATTGTCCGACCAGGAATATGCCCAATCGAACATCAAGACATGGTGAATAATATTCAAAATTACAAAATTAATATAGTGTACCGAGTGTATAATTACCACTCAACCCGATTTTCGTTGATAATAGGCTGAATTGATTAGGTAATGGACGCAACAGTAGAAATCGCCATGCATATTTATGAAACTATTTACATGACCATTGGTTTAGCACTAAGTATTTATATAGCCATTAGTTTATAATTATTAGTAGTAGCTAGTGATGACTAAGTATTTGCATAACCATTAGTTTAATAGCTAGTGATGACTAAGTAGTTACATTATCATTAGTCTAGTAGTTAGTGATGACTAAGTATTTCCATAACCATTCATTTAGTAGTAGCTAGTGATGACTAAGTATTTACATTATAATTAGTCTAGTAGCTAGTGATGACTAAGTATTTATATACTATTAGTTTAGTAGTAGCTAGTGATCAATAAGTATTAACATCACCATTAGTTTAGTAGCTAGTGATGACTAAGTATTTACATTATCATTACTCTAGAAGATAGTGATGACTAAGTATTAACATAACCATTAGTTTAGTAGCTAGTGATGACTAAGTATTTACATTATCATTACTCTAGTAGCTAGTGATGACTAAGTATTTACATAACCATTAGTTTAGCAGTAGTTAGTGATGACTAAGTATTGACATAACCATTACGTTAGTAGTAGATGATGAATGAATAAGTTAGTGATAATAAGTATTTACATAATCGTAAATTTAGTAGCAAGTGATGAGTATTGGAAAAACTTTTTGCTTGTAATAAATTAATAAATGGGTATCTACAGAACCATTAGTTTAGTAGCTGATGATTAACCAGTATTTACAAATTACAGAACTATTAGTAGTAGTAGCCATTGATAAATGAGTATTCATAGAAATGTTACATTTTGTAGCTAATAATGAATGAGTATTTACAGAAACTTTTAGATTGTAATAAATGCATATTTACAGAAACATTAGTTTAGTAGCTATTTGTCATGATAAATAATTAAGCTTGAAGATTAGTAAATCTTAAATACCAGTAACAAGTACTTACAGAACTTTTACGTTTATTAGATGGTGATGAATGAGTACTACCAGGAGGAGTAGGATCTTCTGTAACATCTTCTGATGAACTACCCCAACTAGCTCGTAGCATAGTAGATTTATTACGATGTACTGCTGAGGCTGTGGCTTGAATTAAGGATGATATAGCCCTAGCACGATTACTCTTTCGTAAATTAGTACGAAGAAAACTGTCATCAAGCGATTGACCTGTAACAGATTAAACTCATTAAAGTACCAAATATTTCATTGTCCCCTTTTTGGTTACACAGTAAACAAGTGTAAATTAATGGAGTTGTTGATTCTCATAGCAAATGAGAACTTATTAAACAATGTTCATGTGAGAGTTAACAGTAATTTCTGATGCAGTGAAATATTCTTTAGTAGATGATAGTTACAAAACATTGATTGATAGCACCTATAATACTTGATTTAATCCAAGCAATGTTTCAAAAAGATTGGATGATAATTTTTGTACCAGAGAGTTTCTATATACATTAGTTGTCAATATATTTTTCAATGGAAAGTAAAATAATTGTAGTCACATAAACAAATTAATGGACATTTAAAACATGTTATAATTAATAGTTACCTTTGTTGGTTGATGTAGCTGCAAGTCTTCTTGATAATAGTAATTCTGAAAAAATATACATAATAATATAAGTATGGTAAAAACAATACTTTAAACTTAAATATTATCTACATTTTGTTAATCCTCAATGTAAATTCTATAATAAATACAAAAAATTTCATTCTTCCAATTTGTTGAGCTGCATTTTTGTTATATTACAATATATTTTTATTAACCTAATTTAATGCATAATTTTATTTTACCTAAATCAAAGAGATTTAGGTGTTTAGCTCCTTTAATATAGGTACTGTTAAATTGGGAATATTGAGATAGTGAATATTTTAGTAGCATAGTCTTATAATATTTATTAGTATAAAAAGAGCAATCAGATTAATTTGGTGAGAGATTTAAGATGCATTCGTAATGTTCTGTCCTATTTTGGACATTACCAGCAATATTACTGTGTGTTGGGTTTTACATTAATGAATTATACAATATGGTGTACCCTATTCCTTAAACAACATAAAAACTAGAACAAAATTATATTACAACATTTAAAACATCACAGAACCACTCTTTTACTACAAATAAATTCAAAAAGCTAAGAATATCTTTTAGATATAGATCTATAAATATATATCAATAATTGAAATTTAAAAGAATAAAATGGAAAAAATACAGAAAAGCAAAAATGTTGAAGAAGGGAGATGGTTTCATGAAAAATTCTTTTTGTATGTCTTGTCTTGTATAAAAGTAAATTGGACACCCATTTCTAAATGATTTTAAATTGGCAGAAACCTGTTTTGTCTTCTAATTTGTACTAATAAAATATGTTTTAAAAAAAACTAAAAGTCAGTTGGTAATTTTTTAAGGCAGCAAGGGTGTACAATACTTCATACGCTGCACTTTTTTTTCACAGACCCAAAAGTTTGATTCAGATCTTGTGATTCGTTATATATAAGATATATATCGTAGAGTATAGAATGTGAGAAAGGGATTAAATATACAAACAAGTATATAAATTAAGTGACACACAGCAAAATAATAAATTTCCATATATTTTGTGCAAATAGTTGAGTACACTGTGAATTCAGGGATAAAAACATAACCTAATATTTGTGAAAGAATATTATTGTTACTTTTATCAACCTGTTTGTTGCTCAAAGATATTGTGATCGCTAAAAAAATGAGAGAGAAAAAAACTCTTTTAAAACATTTATTCTATTTTCTTGCAAAAACAAAATCTCGAAAATATAACCTAAATTTATTTTAGAAAATAAAACCATTTTACCCACAAAAACATGCTTCTTATATTTATATATCAAAACATGGCTTCAAACACTTTCGGTTACTAATGGTTAGCATGCAATTATCCCAATAAATTAATCTAAAAAAAAAAAAATTTGACCAAACCAATCAAAGAATATCAACCCATGCACATGTTCAACCGGTCACAAATTAGAAAAACTACCAATTATCTTGATGTGGTTGATGCTTTGGATAAAAAGATCTGCTAAGATACATTCTTGTTTCTCTTCCTGTTGGTTTTTTCAATGCTAAACATCTTGACAACTGTCAACCATTTTCATCAAGGTATTAAAAACTTCAACAAGATATGTAAATATCAAAATAGACTTCCAAAATACTTCATTTATTCCACTCAATCCATATGTATAACTTTGTGAAAAAGGTCTGGGTTTCATCAATCTAAGGTAATCTTTATATAAAGCCAGTGTGTGGCTAATGCTCTAGATTTCTTCAAATTCAAGACATTCTTTCAAATTGAATTAATAATTCTTTATTTTCAAAGGCAAAGTAAATAGATTTGCAAATATAACATAATAATAATCAATATAAATATATAAGCAAGTAAATAATATATACAAATAACTATTATATCATATATAGACAGTGTCTTTATAAACAATGATTCAGTTGCTTCTCTATGATCACCATAGTGTAAAAGACTAGTGTAAAAATTGTGAGATACTGTAATTAAAGGGACAACAAACCAGAAAAAGATAGGTTGCCAAGCAACGAAACATACGCCCACAGCAGCTAAGTCATCCAGGGAGTCAACAAGGGTTGTCGCATATTTCTTTCTTTTTTCAGCAATGAAAACATTTACAACAAACTAAAAACTGATTATGAGTAACAATCCATTTGGCTTCTAGTTCTGCCCTATTCTAACATTTAGCATACAAAACATCTAATATCAATTGCCATAATCATTGAAAATCAACAGGCTTCTTCGTCTCGTTTCCTTCAACACTGTATAAATTCAAGTCAATCAGATATTAACTTTAGCGTCTAAAGCGTCCAAAGATATTTCAAAGTGACGGACCCATGGGGGCGACGACAATATACAACCACATTTCAATGTGGGCATATAAAAAAACCAACTTTACTTCAAAACTTTATCCAACCTGAAAATAATATCCTAAACTTTAAACTAATTCAAAGCTTTCAAAGCAAGGTTAGAAAAACTTGGTTCGTGATTGTCAAGTATACATGTTATTGACTTTTTGACTTGATTATGTTGTCTCACACATCTAATTCAAATTGTCTTTCTATCCACTTTTTTTTTTACACCACAGTATTTGGCCTATTTGCAAAAGGGAGATTAAAATTGATAAACAATATGTCCAATGACCTCTCCCCCTACTAAATACACCAATGATTTTTTCATTAAGATTATGAGAATATTTGATCTACATTTTCTGTGCTAATCTTCTGAATTATAACACAATATTTTTTCCAACATTTAAATAAATAAATCTTTTTTTTTGGCCTCCCATCATGTTGCCCTTTTAATAGTTTGATAAATAAAATATAAACAAGTAGGCTGAATATATAATTAATTGCATAATTGATATAGAAAGATGTATATTTCAATTGGCACAGTGATAGTTCATACAAATCATTATTAATTTACACATAATTCAAGTTAAACTTTATCATAGGAAGATAAGTTCTTTCTCATTATGTATGGAATTGTAATTAAAAATAGTTTAAAAAACCTAAAATACTGCAAATGTAGAAAGAACTTTTTGCTTCCTTATTAGAAGTGATCAATATCTCATCCAATAGAAATGAAATGGGGTTTAACTTCCCACTGTTCTGCTGGGCTAATAAAGACCACCCATCCTATAGATTAGAGGATTTATAGACAGTGTTATAATAATGTTATTTGGACCCTGAAAACTATTTTTATTATAGATTTCAACTTGGACTATTTGGAAGCTCACAATTCTCTATGTTCCCATTAACATCCTCCGTCATTTATTCATGACCTTAAGCAAGTACTACACTATGACTAATATGTTAAATAACCTACATCAGTATGCTTGAAGTGTTTTGTAAAGATAATGTTTTTGGGAACTATAAAATTGTTCCTGGCTGTGTGAATATAGCCAGTATTTGCCCATAAATGGTAACATAGAAAATCTTGATTGTCACAGAAATATATCTTTAAATGATTTCGATGTATTAATAGGCAGATAGCAAATAAGGTAGAGATTCATCTTATAATTAAATAAAGTTATCAGTGTTATTCACAGCAGCTTGGCTAAGCATTTAAAAACATAGTAATAAATTAAATAAAACAATAATAAGATCTTATATACATTTGCATGGCATAAAAAAAACTAGAATTTTAAGTCAACAATGGCTAAAATCTATATATTTATAATAAAGCCTGTGTAAATGTCTATAAAAAAATACATGACTTAAATAAAAGACTAAAATTAAAAAGATTAAAACAATATTCAAAGATTACATCCCTGTATAGATGAAGTCAGTTTTTTATTGACTCTCTGAGAATTTCTTGAATACTTTTTCTTTCTATTGGTATATAAATAAAAGATTAAATAGCATATAATAATGTTTAAAATACCAGCAACAATCTACTTCTTCCATATGGCAATTCTGTGGGTCTGTACTCTGTAGACCTGACAAGTCACGAACATATGACTGAGCAATTGAGGTTCAAAGCCTTAATAGCCCATCAGTGTTTATGTATAATTTTCTTCTAGATAAATAAAAATCCTCTAGATTCAATCCATTTAAGAAAACAACCACCCTGTTTAAAAATCTATTTTGTTCCCTAAAATCCAGATACAGATTTATAACAATAACAATGTCACAGCTAAGAATTATTAGGTAGATTCATTATAGGTGGAAAATTTGAAATTCTATTGTAAAATTCTTTAAATGAGCTTCTGGTCATGATTTTCACAAATGAGAGGAAATAATAACCTGGTAACAAATTTGATACAGACCATATTTCCCTGTGTATAATACATAACATTTCCAATCTGATTAAAACACAGATCCAATTTCGTTTCGTTTTTTATAGTTCAAAATTTCGTTTTTACTTGTCTTTACTACATTTGGATATGGAAGACTTGTTATTTAACTAGTGTTCTGCTTGAAATAAGGGGTCAGCCCATCAAATGGTCTGTTGAATCGAGCGTTTGACCTTTTTTGCGCGAAACTGTGGGTAGACATTACCAGCGATAGAAATCAAAACAAAGCAAAAGTAGATTTAAACCAGCATGGCAGTCGCTAATTGGTTAATCGAATGACTGACGTTATCGGGTCAAATGTCGCTTGCTTGGTACCTGACGTCATAGAACGTGAACTCCCACTATAACTTGTTAGATCTACATGTAGTGTAGGCCATCGAAAGTATAAAAAACGAAACGAAATATAGATTTGTATTTTAATCAGATTGTTAACATTTCCTTTTCAATGTTACTGATGAAACCTTATAATTCTCAGGTTATGACTGGACAAATAATTAAGGATTAAAATACTGGGATGAAAATACTTTACAATAAACTATAACAATATTCATACAACACGAGACAACTACAAATTATCTCTTTATCTTCACACACCAATATACTCCTTGATAATTACATCAATGATTAAAATCACTGATCAATAAGAAAAATGTTATTAAAAATAAATAACAATAACTTAAAGAGTGCACCGAAGGGCTACACCCATGTTACGTATATGATTTTCCTTCAATACAATAAATGTCTTGATTTTTTTTATCTATTTGGTTGAAATCACATCTGCAGTTCATAAGAAGTTGTAAATGTAATTTGTTTAGCCTGTACAGACGATCACATAGACGAACAGACAGATCGTGGACAGAAGTGATGACATAGCCTTTGGTAGGGTGCCCTATATTTAATTATCTATCATTAATAAAATTAAAAAGAATACAGCCAAAAATATTTAAAAATTTTTGTGTCAGAGTTAAATGACTATAGTTTTCTTTTTGATAATCAAGGTATCTAAATCAAAGGTTTAACTATTTACATCCAGGCATATTCTCAAAATTTCAGATCTATATTTTTCTTACAAAGAAAAACAGACAGACTAGATTAGGTAAACGGGTAGTATTAAATAATAAAATTATTAATATCAAATCTTAAAATAATATCTAGGATAAAATAAAAGTGAGCATAAACATTGTGACACTACCAGGATTTTAAAAAATTTGTTCATTTGCTTCCAATCACATATATTGAAAATCATTTTCGATTTTTCAAATCGAAATCAGTCATAGAAAAGCGTTTACTGGCTCTGATTTTAGACTGAGCGGGTAATGGTGGACCCATAATGGTTCTAGTGGTTTTGATATCTAATGACTTAGTATCAGTAACAATAAGCTTACGTTGTGTGCGTGATGAAGCTGAGTTCTTTAAATATTGTTTAGCTTTTTTCCCGCTGTAATCTCTTATATTAGAATCAGCCTCTGAAAAACAAAGACTACATTTAGAAACAGAGGATTACATTTAGAAATAAAAATAATAACAACCAGTGCAAATGCTTCCTTAAATTACTCAACACCTAATCAATGTAACATGCAATGGTAAAATATTTGTAAATTATCATAATGACTCTTGACTCTCAAAAAGTAATACTTACTATAATTTTGAACTAATAATTCTATGATATCTTCATGTCCCTGCATCGCTGCTAAATGAAGTGCTGTGTATCCCTTGGAAGAAAAGGTAAAATTTGTTGATATTAAAAATACTGTACAATTTACTAGAATGTAATAATTAACAGTAAATACTAATATCACATAATAAATCTACATTCCATTTAAATATGTCTACCTTACTCATATTTACATACAACAATTATCAGATTTAAACTGGCCTAATTAAAATAAAAGTGATTTAATCATCAGTTCACTCTTCTGCTGATTTCATCTGTCATGGAATTACATACATTCTGACTTTTCTTATTTCATCACATATTATGAATGACTTTACATTCTTTCCCTGTCAGTCCTAACCATACAAAACCCTACTATTCAAACCATAAACAGAATGAAATCAATATCTTAATGACCATATCTAAAAATGTTGTTTCTTCTGATTTTAAAACATTACTTACCCCCTAAAATTGTGGAACACATGAAATTAAAAAAGTAAAGAAATATACTCTATGACAAAATAAACACAAGCAATAATCTTCTCTAAATATTAAGCCAAGCCAAGGCAGGTATTTCATCATTAAAAGCATCATCATTCTAGACTAACAAGTAAATATAGATAATAGAACACCTACATGTATTACAATTTATTATTGATCAATTTTAAAATATTTCTGGCACACAGAGGGTTTAAGTTATAAAACAATTAATACTATACTTACATACTGTTTATTTAATTATATGAAAGAAAAAGAACACAAACAAAAATGTTAACAACATAAATAAAAGCATTTTCAGTTGAAGAAAAATCCTGAGGTACATAATTAACAACTATTGATCGATCTCCATATTTTTTGTGTGTAGTTTTGTATTCCAGTTTGAAATAAAGAACAAAAGTATGACCTAAACCTACAGTGTAACCCTTTATTGCTTTGAATTAAATATCAATAACCAATCTACTGAAAAATGAAAATATAATACTCACTGATCTTTGATTCATACTGAGTCCTGGTTTACCAGCTAATAATTTGATGACCTCTGCTTTACCTTGCTTTGCAGCCCAATGCAGTGCAGTCTAAAACAAAACAAATGGATTAAGATGTCAATATAGTAAAGAGAAAATGTAGGAATTCGCACAATAAATTCTGTCATCTAGAGTTAGTTTTTTAGAGTGTTACAGATTTGTTTGTGGTCTAAGTTAAGAGATGTCCAAATTCTGATTGCATCATTTCTAAAAAGAGAATATCACTTAAGTAAATAAATATACTTACATACTATATTGATCCAAACGGAGGAATATGAAAAGGAAAAAATTAAGGCAAAAGATTAAGTTTAGAGTCATTTACACAGACTTTTTTTTTTAATATGGGATTGGGAGCCATGGTGGCTAAGTGAGTAAGATGCTGGCTAACTAGCCTGGAGGTCGCGGGTTCTATTCCGGAGATGGCCGAGAAAGTTCATCAGATTTTCAGGCATGGCTTCCCTTTGTCAGCGGTGCAGGACGGAGGGCTTGACAAGGATAGCTGTCTAGTCCTTCGAAAAACTGGGGTCCAACGTACGCATTGGACTGCACGTAAAAGATCCCTTGGCAGTTGGAATTCGATATAAGAGTAGACTGTAGCGCCGCAGTCCGGGCCAAATTTCCCTCATAACACCCAGCATCGCATATGCCTGTCTTCATTAGCCCAGTTGGAGCAGAACAGTAGCCTGTTAAACCTCATTTCATTTATTTTCAAAATGAGGTTTGTTCTAAATTGAATAGAATATATATTCATTTATCGTTAATTTAAAAAGAACTGGTTCATTTATCTTTAATTAAATAAAACTGGTTAATTTATATTTATTAAACAAAACTGGTTATTTTTATCTCAAAGGCTCTAAAAAAAGACCATATCTTTGTACCATGGTACAGATTATTTTCTCTTGTAAGAAAATGGTTACTTACCCCCTTTTACAGAAGAAAATTTCATGAAAAAGAAAGAAAAGTATTAATAATAATATATCAATATATAAAATTCAATTAATACAGTAACACCTTTTGCATCTCAATTCTCATTCTCTAAATTTCAATTAGACATTTACCATTAGTATATTTATCATTAATAGTATACTTACATTTGTAAAGTCCTAGAAAAAAGGAAGAAAAAAGAAAATTAAAAATACACATAAAACTAAAGAATATGAAAAATAAATTTCTTGCTTGTACACCTGTAATTAAAGTGCTATTTTTCAAAACACGATCAATTATAATCATTATTACATAAATTTATATAGCGCAGATTCCACTATAAAGTGTGCGATTGCGCTTAACAATAATAGTATAAAATCATACAAAATGAAATAAAATCATATAAATAAAACTATAATGGATAAAATAATTCAAAATAAATTGTTTATAAAAATTACATATTTAAGATAGAATTATTAATGAATATCTTAAAAAAATCTAACTAGAAAAGTCATCTTATTCATTTTCTAAATAAAAAAAACAACTTACCCTGATTTTAGCAAGAGCAGGATTTTTTGATAATAACCTATTCATTTCATGGTATTCAGCTGAACAACATGTTAACATCCAGTTTTTCTCCTCCTCATCATACTGTATTGTAGAATATTGAAAACATTTTCAACAGACTATGAATTACATAAGTAAGATTTATAATTACACAGTTCAGAACTAATACAGGATGTTAAACTCATGTGTACTTCAACACGACACTTTATTTTTACACCTTATCCTTTAGAGAAAAGGGCTGGTAAATAGAATTTACCCACATCAAAGAAAACAATCCTGCATTTGGTAAAATATTTGTTATATATTTATCATCTTGTGGACTGATTTAGTATTACATGTATATCAGTGCGAATAAAGCTCTTTACATACTGGAATATTATAAGATTTCAACACATACCGTAGGAAAGGCAGTACCCGAGGAATGATCATCATCATCATCTCCGCCACCCCCAAATTTTTCTCTAGCCTATAAAAAAAAGAGCATAAAACAAACTCAAAATTATATGATTTCCTTATTTAAGTATGACATTAGTTTTCAGGGACGGATATAGGATTTTTAAGTACAATTTGTTAGATTTTACATTAACCCAGCTTCCACCCACCCCCTTCTCACCTCAGCACCTGTATCCCCGACTATGCTTTCATGTTGGTTAAGATCACCATTATGTGCAAATAAAATGAACAAACAACCATGGAAAAAAAACAACACTTACAGTTTTCTTTCTAAATTGATTTGGCATCAACACATCGCTTTGTGACTCTATTTTATTTAAATGTTTGGCTCGTTCTTTTACAGATATAGATTCATTCACTTCATCTTCAGTAGAAGCTGTGCCTGTGGATAGTTGTGATATCTGTGAACCCTTAAAGTACCAATATCAATAAAAAAAAATTAGTGAAATAAACAAAAAACTATAATAATACATATATGTGTGTTACAGTGTTCACAGGATTAACAAATTTCTTATTGTGAGTTTCAAATCCAAGAGAATTAGGAAATAATCTTAAAATCTTAAAATCAAGCTTGAAATTTCTAAATATCGATCCAGGCAATAAGTGCACAGACGGAAAATTAAGAACATTGTAACAACATTTATGTCAATATCATTTTACTTTTGTTTATGCTTATTCGATTTCAGATACCGTAAATATATCTTAAAATATCAGAAGTTATTTAAAGTATTAAAGATAAATAGCCAACTAAACATACGCCCACATCGCCTAAGGTATACGAGTAGTCTATGAATTTTTGTCACATTATATACTGCATAATGAGTTTTATAAGTTGCTATGACATAATCAAGGGCAATATCCTATAATTAATTATCAGAAATTATTGTAATCGTGATTCATCTCAATAATCGAAACAATGATAATGACTTTCATAATTTTACAAAACATTCACAAGGTTGTACAAAGTCAGCAATGAAAGCAATTCTAGAAGTAATTAACAGAAATTTATCTAACAATGCACATATTTTAACCAGATCTGATGACAACTTTTACTGCTACAGCATTCAGACAACTATCAAAACTGAACAGAGGTAACAGGTGATAGTGAGGCTAATGTCCTCCAACTCAATCCAAAATAGCACATAATTTATTAAAGGTATCATAATACAAAATATCAACCAAATCTTAGCGGAAAATAATAATGTTCGAACTCAGTCAAGACATTCTCCTAATGAACACTTACACCTCAGTTAGAAGCAGAGTTATTGTGTTCTTTAGTTTTTACAAATCAAAGTGCATAAGCTTATTGTTTCTTAGTCTTAGAAGATTATGCTTATCACTGAACTTACATGTACTCAAGGTCCTGATGTAATGAAATGATACAATCTCTCTTAATTAGAAACAAATCAAATTTCACTGATTCATAATTACTTACTGATGAAGCTATGGATGAAGTAGAAGCAGCCAGGCTATTAACACCACTATCATTGTTTTTAACTTTTATTCTGCTGTCAAAATATTCTTCACTTCGTACTTTAGACATTCCAACACCATCGTGTTCATCATCAACTCTTCCAGGAGGTTCCGAAGATGCTCTAGCATTATCAGTTCTTATAGATCTAGGGGCTGGAATGGGTGTAGCTTCTGGTCGGTATTTCTTTTTTAATACCAATATTTTACCAGCCTACAAACAAATAACATAGAATGACATACACAAAATGTTCACAAGATTTCGAAGTCTAAACGTGACCAGAAGACAATTCTTTAAAGTTTAAAGTGCATTTCAAATTCACGATCTGAAAATTTTAGAAATTCCATAGGGCTCTTGCTCATATGAACAATTAGACAGAGTTTTACATTAAAATGTGTTAATCACTGGTAAAACATTTTTTCTGTAATGCTTTCATAAGATTTCATACCAACAGATAGGATGACAACATACAACAATATAAAAATGTCGGCATATAAAAGGAACACATACAACAACACATATTGTCTTACTTCTTCTAGTTTAATTGTGGCTAACTCATTAACAAAATCTTTGAATTTTTCTCTGTGTGTTACTGTCAATAGAAAGCAGAAAATTACTGGTATATAAAATGTGCAAAATAGGGTGGCTGGTTCTAACAATGTGAGAAAGATCTCTATTTACAAAGAAATTCATTTGGATAAATGGCCTGCATCTACATGGGCAAAGTATCACTGAGTATCTGCACAACCCAATCGTTGAACTTCTTCATAACATCCTGCACATATTTGTGGGCAGTATTACCTATTACTTAATAATGAAACGTGACCATGTGTATTGTTGGATTAAATGATAAGGATATGGTGAGACAAAGATCCAGACATCTAATTTGTATAATATGTAAAAGAGGTATAGAATTTGAATATTTCATTCTCTTTGAAATGCTTTGTCATCCCTGCTTTTTACCGTGTAGTGCTAGTACCATGCCGGGTCAGTCACTAGTGACAGTGCTCTCTTCTTCTTGGGACAGTGACATAAATAAAATATTCATGACCACAACTTAAAGAAGCCGATGGAAACCATGTTAGATGGAGATGAACTTATTAGTCTGCCATGGCGTACATTTAAATTTGTGAAAATGCTTATCAACATTAAATTAACTGACTTGACAGACCAATGGTACATTGAACATTGAATGAGGGGATACCAGTCATTTGAGGATACCCAAATTGAAATATTGGATTACTATAGGAAGCCTATCTAGTGGGGTGAGTGACAGTAAAGTATGTTTTATTGTTTATCTCTAGATTTTTTTCTGTTCTAAAAATATTAAATATTTTAAATATGTCATTTATATTCTATGACGAACACTTTCTTGCACTTTCCAACACTTAGATTTTTCAAGATATCATTTTTAAAGACCCCAAAATAAGGCATTTAAAAGAGTCTTAATTAGAGAATAAGTTAATCAATAAACAGTACAGTAAGTAAAGCAATAATGACATCATTGATTGATGATGAAAATAAAGTGTAAACAAACACTCAGGGTAACTTTTGAACCGTGCCACATCCCTACAGTTTTATAAAATGGGTTAGGAATTTTAACCTTTTGACACTGGATCGTTGAGGAAGGCTTTAAAATGTGTGACGAGTTGTTGATTCGTCACTCTTCCTCCATTATTTATCATAAATTCTTTCACTGCTTCAAGAGTGAAACAAGTAGCGGCCATTTTTCTGAAAAACCGGAAGCAAATTCGTATCCGGTAGACACGAACACCAGGTACGTCAATGACCAGGATACTCAGGATACTAGAGTCGACCAAACAAGTGACATTCACGCAGGTTTGGACGTGATCCAATGACAATGCGTTTTATATCGGAATTAATGCATCAAAAATGAATTAATCAATAACATAGACCAAAACCGCGACTGTCTTTAAAGAAAGCCAATTTTTTTCTGAAAAAGATCATTTTCAGGTTTTAACATGTAAAATATATCTCAAGCTTAATTTAAGTGTATCAATAATGGTCTGTCATCGAGTCAATTAACTGTCGTGGTTTCCAACCTCGTTAGTTTTCTCCGGGTCCTCCGGTTACCTGCCACTACTACAGACCCCTACGCGCAAGCGAATTATTGAAATAAAATTGAACCATATTAGTCCCGAAATAACCTAGTTTGTGTCGAGTGGACGTTAAACCTCTCTCTCTCTCCTCTCTCTCTCTCTCTCTCTCTCTCTCTCATAATTATGAATATGACTAGTTTGGCATGACTAAATTGTGTAACCCCTGTTCGTCTATTAGTATTTAACATCAGCTTCCACCGATGGTGATATCGCAGACACGTTATCTTATTGTAAATCATGCTGAGCGCAAGGCTTTCCAGGGTGACCCAAAAAACAACAGAACCCATAAAATTTTTTAGTAAATCCTACAATTAAAAAAAATACAACCACGCCCAGTCTTCTGATTCCCAATTGTTTAGTCTAGTGATCTTTAACGTACGTAAAGTAGTATTGAACCTCAGTTGTTTGTCCTTTCCGAACGACTTGACAATCGGAAACCAGACTGGAAAATGTGCAGCGGTCCACATCAGCGCCATACTCACTGAGCAACCATTGTTCCGAATTCGAAGAAGGGTAGTTCGAAACGCTGACGCTGGGGATTTTGTTTTCCAATCGTTTTGCACCTGTAATCAGTGTCGGACTGGGCCCACCTGTCCACTTGTCCGTGACAGGTGGGCCTAAGCTGATTTAAAAAAGTGGGCCTAAGCCTATAAAGAGGAAAATAAAAAAAAAGAGAAAGAAAAAAGAAAAGAGAAAGAAAGGAGAGCTAATATTGTATCAGGAAATCAAAAATTTGCCTTCTTCTGCTTTGGTCTGAAATACTTGGAAAATGGTTGTGCGGTTGTCAATTTTCAAAATTTTCCTGCGGGGAGACCCGACCCCCCTCGGACGCTCTAGCGCCTTCGGCGCATACTTGTGTGGGCCTTGGTCAATGACCTGGCAGATGGGCCTTCGGCCCACCAGTCCGGCCCTGCCTGTAATCATTGCAATGAACATTGCCATGTGTATATTATTGTGTTGACGAGACGTTCTGATACTTAGCTTTTCTTTTTATTCTTTAGTCGTGAACATGGTTATTATAATAGACAGGGTAAACAAAGGATGAATTGGTTTAATTCTGAATGTTCTCCCACTTCTAAAAACCACTGCTCACGAGCAAACTATTAAAATTAAAATGTACCATATGTTATTCACGTAGCCTATACTTGAAAATTGAAAACTGTGAAAAAAAATATTCACAGTGTTAATTTTAATCATGGGATATAGAATGGTTAAATGGTGGAAGCGGAAGCAAGGCTTCGTCAACCCAATGTGACTGCCCTTTCGGTATTATAAGTCGGAATTGTAACAGACTGGTATCAGGTCCTTTCTATAGTCTTTTTAACAAACGTGTATTACACGTTTCATTTAAACCGTTTAATTGTCTTAAAATGTGTCTTCATGCCAGAACTAGCAGGTCAGAGCTATGATGTTATATTTGTAATAAAATAAGATTTTAATTAGATTTACTTTAAAATACGTCTTCGGGTGGGGGGGTAATTAGATTGACCTGTCATGTCACTTTCCTTTTCATTTTAGGAGTTATATGATAGTGAGGTATTCGGGGTTTAAACAAAGGTCCGATTCAACCGAGCAGGGGCGTGCTGGCAGGGAGTTTAGGAGGACGGTGTCCTCCCAGGCCCCCATTAAACAATACGTCCACCCGTATAAGCTGACCCCCATGAGAGCTCTAATTTTCACGCGGAATCCCCTCAAAAAATTGAGAGTGCGCACGCGAAAAACCATATATACACAACGATTAGTAAAATATATTATGCTGACGTGCAAATGTCTGTCACCTTAAGGTGAAATGGTCTTTGATTAAAACAATCGGTGGTGCTGATAGCATAATTGCATTTCCTGCATTTTTGTGTTAGTATCATGTCTCATAGAGACTAAAGATTCATACATGTATTCATGCCTCGATATGTATAAGATGCAATTTATTATTTGGATAGAAATACATTGTATTAGCATTATATTAAGCATGAGTGTCTTGTGTAGTACAGTAGTATGTCTTATAGTCAAAATAGCAGCATAAATTTGGAAAATATGATACCTAGATTTCTCCCAGAAGTGCTTGCAAAACGCGTTTCCCGTTGTCAAATTTCAAAAATTTTCTGGAGGGAGAACCCCCCCACAACCCCCTACCTGCGGAGCGCCTTCGGCGCGCGGGTCGCCTTCGGGTAGACCACGGGTAGGTCTAGATGCTCAGAGGGGTAACTTACTTGAGTGTATTGCCCACACGTGGGTCCAGATGTTCTGTAGGGTAACTTACATAAGTGGTATTACCCACAGATATGTGAAGTTACTCAGTGGGGTAACTTTCATGAGGGGTATATGGGCAACAATATGAGAATTTAGACTGGTTCCTCGAGATTTGTTTGCTTGAAAACTGCAAAAAAAGGATTCATGTCAGGATGTGTAAAATTTTGACGGAGGGATGTATGCCGTTATTATTGTAGTGGTTTTTGTATACTATGTAGATACTTAAAACTGATAAACATCAGCACTAAAATAAATTTATTTGACGTAGCCGGGCAGTTATGACTTGGTATGGCCTTTGCCTTAATTTTGTTACTTGAAATAGATAAGTATGTCTATTATGACACTTCTTATTATGTTACAATAATTATCATGCGAATTTATGTCATTATTATACAACGCCTAAAGGCCTTTGACGTCGTCACCGATAACACATTGTCGAGATACGAGCATTTAGAAAATAACAAAATCAGACCAATCGTCATACGAGGTTTGGTTACACGCCAATAAAATAAAAACTATTTATCGCAGAATTCCAATTTCATGTTAACAAATTGAGTTCTGCAAAAAAGTGATTTTTCGAAAAATGCCGACTAACGAGGTTTTGGAATGACACGATGATATGTGGTGTGCTTTAAACTGTGTGTTAATGCTCGATGCAAATAACGTTTAAGCTTAAACCAATGAAAAGAAATGAAATGAGGTGGTTCTGCCCCAACTGGGCTAATAAAGACGGACATACGTCATACAGTGTGCTATGAAGGAATTCCAACTGCCAAGGGTTCTTTTAGGAGCACGCTAATATCTACACGGGACCTCTATTTTCGCCCGACTACACGTTGTCCATTGCCAGACCCTGTGTCCTGCACCATACTTGGAGGGGGGGGGGGGTGGCTTAGTGGTTAGCACGTGCGCCTTGTATCATTAAGTCTGTCATTGAGTCAACTGGCGTGCTTTCAAATCCCCGGTTGTACGTGGCAAGGAGTATGGTCGCCTGTCCAACCTCGTGGCTTTTCTCCGGGTCCTCCGGTTTCCTCCCACTGCTAAAGACCCCTACGCGCAAGCGAATTATGGAAAATAAAATTGAACCATATATTAGTCCCGAAATGACCTAGTTTGTGTCGAGTGGACGTTAAACCCCATTTCTCTCTCTCTCTCTCTCTCTCTGCACCATACTAACAAAGGGGAACCACGCCAGAAAATTCCGATAAACTTTCTCGGTCAAACGACTCCATTATTCACATTTAAATTAAACTCAATTAATATCTTTAATGTTTGGTATTAAAAATAAAAAAAATTATGAGGCGAAAATGTCATATCAACCGTTAAAATAGCAATTGCTTTATAACAGAAAACTGAAAGATGATTATGATTTATAGCAATTAAAACCAGATGACTCAAAATAAACAGCCGGTGTGTTATTAGAGAAATTCAATAAGTCGCCATTACATGTGTTTAAATGTTGACGTATTGCCAACAGTTGTTCGATGCTTTTTATTGATCTAATAAAATTCAACTCTTACCCTAATGTATTATATTACATTATAGTTATAGATAGGTAGAATGAAGGGAGTGGAAGCTGCTTCTGTTGTTCTCGAGGTCCCGCATACTGGCAACTTGTTAAAGATCCGATGACAGTTGGAAATTAAGATAAGAGTAGCCCGGTTTTTGGTCAGGGCAAAATTCCCCACGTTTCACACTGCATAATATTTTTTTTTTTTTTTCATTCGCTAAGGTTGGTGCAGAAAAGTAAGACGTTAAATACCATTTCACTTTGTTCTCGGTCGCATCATCGAGAAAACATTTTTGGTTAGAAAATAAGAGTCAGTAGTCACTGTGCAACGTTCATTGAGCTAAATTATAAAAATCAAATGGTACCACGCGGTTGAAAAATGGTATACATACCACACTTTGTACACGACAGCTGTTTCATTCAATGGTGTGCGTAAAACAAACACGTCAACAAATATTTATCACCAAATAATATATAATTATAATATACTATTCAAAAAAAGTAGGGGATATTTGATTTTGGGGGCATAATACTAAAATATGCAAATGACTACGAAAAAAGTCACTATAGAACCTAACAGAAGAAACATTTCCAGTTACATGTGACGCCCAAACGCACCAATAGCTACCGCATGGAATGCAGGTGATGCTTGGGATCATCATGGGGGTCCAACCCAAGATTTGCACGACTCTGACTTTGAATGTTACAGTCATTGTGGCATTGAATTCCAGGGTGGAAACATCAGTTTAATTGTTTTAGTGACCAGAAAACAAATTTTGATATGCGTCGGCTTACCCAAAATGAAAGGTTACGTGCCCTTGGCATGCTACAGATCGGCACAACACAGGCGGTTGTGGCGCGGACGATGAATGTTTCTCAGTCTGTCATAAGCAGGCTATGTTCCAGATACCGTGATACACAATCTGTACAGGACAGACCACGCTCAGGTCGACCAAGGGCGACAACTCAAGCCCAGGATCGATTTATCCGTACCTTGGCCTTGAGAAATCGTGTCATCACAGCAAATCAGATCAGCGCTCGTCTTCAAACAGACACTGGTGTGAGAGTGAGTGGCCAGACGATTCGGAATCGACTGCATAGGGGTCACCTTCGCGCCCGACGTCCTCGCGTGATCCCTTGTTTGAGAGATCATTACATTCAGGCAAGACGTCGTTGGTGTAGGGGTCGTCAACACTGGGATAATCGACGCTGGAGCAATGTGATGTTTTCAGATGAGTCAAGGTTCACTGTTGATTTTTTGGACAGACGTAGGAGGGTGTGGCGTCGTCGAAACGAGCGCTTCCAAGACGTTAACGTCATCAGACATGATCGATTTGGGGGTGGTTCTGTTATGGTGTGGGGAGGCATCACTGTTGCTGGAAGAACGGCTTTACATGTTGTTGCAGGGCGTGTTACAGGCCAGTACTACCGGGACAACATCTTGGCAGTCCATGTTGTGCCGTTCGCACGACGGCATGGCCGCCGTTTCATCTTCCAGGATGACAACGCAAGATGTCACAGGGCCAGGATCGTTACAGGTTACCTCCAACAACAGAATATCACCACATTACCTTGGCCAGCACTGAGTCCCGACCTCTCCCCCATCGAGCATGTCTGGGACATGCTTGGACAGAGGTTACGTCAACGTCAACAACGTCCTGCCAATGTCCAAGAACTTGCTGCTGCGTTGCAACAGGAATGGGACAATCTGGACCAAAATGACCTTAGACGTCTCATTAGGAGTATGCCACGTCGGATCAATGCTTGTTTGGCAAACAGAGGAGGATTTACCCGTTACTGACTTGGTTGTGATGCTGTGGTAACTTTGCTGTTTGACCCCGGGTATCATTTTACCCTTATAATGGTCAGTCTGTGCCTTACTTAGTCTAACGATCATTTGGAATAAATCGATGAATGTGAACTTCATTTCATTTTGTCATTTGTTTCTTCGTCAGTTTCATTAGGTGACCTTAATAACACTTAAAAATCAAATATCCCCTACTTTTTTTGAATAGTATAGTTTAGTATAAAAAAATGTTGTAAACCATACTTAAGGGATTAGTCACAAATTCATTACGAATTTCCAGAATAACATGTTTAATTGTCGAAAAAGTCGTTTCAAAACTGAGCAAGAATACAGCTACGGAGTTTCTATTTCCCCCGTTTATACTGCCAGCGTATATATAAAACACACAACTGCTGTAGGTAAAACAGATCAATGTCACAAAGAACAAAGTTGTTACATTGTCGTGTTCAATTTTTTGTATTGAATACAATAATCAGTAAATGTTATACTTTTCAATTTGATTTATGATGTTTGGTTGACTTTCAGGTAAAGAAATTTTATTTATATAAGTTTATATCATGTTCTTAACAGTTTAAATATATTTCGATTCTCACAACTTAGAAAAAGATACAAGTTTTAATATGGGGGCAAATTATAGCCCTATGCTGCTATATAAGTAGTGATAGGTGTCGTTCACGCTCAGGGTTTGCTAATATTGCAATCATTTTTTAGATCTATTAATTATTTGAAAATGATATAATTTATTCTTGAATCATACGGTAACAAGGAGTTTTGTTTACTGGGGTTTGAGGTTTGTTTTTTTTTGTTTTTTTTGTTCTTGGGGGTTTTAATTTGGGACTTCATCTAATTGCTTATAAACCGCAGCTATATTTCCCATGCATTCTGGGCCCTGTTTCACAAAAACTTAAATCTCTTTAAAATCGTCTTAAACTAAAATTCCATTCTACTGTAACTTAAGATAGATGCGTTTAACAAAACGATTTTAAGCATTTTAGATAAAATCCACTAAAATAGTGGCGTTTCACAAACCTATTTTAGAGACAATTTTAACTAAAATCAATTTTAACTTAGGACAGCCGTCACCCTCCCCTAACTTAAAATCACGACATTAACAAACATTGATTAGAGCTACGCTGTGAGATCTATTGCGACATATTGATATATTTGAAATAATGATAATATTGCCAATGGCCCGGGTTATATAATTTAAACATACTATCATTCACAAAAAATAATTTTCATTCAATTTCTTTTCATTGCATGGGAAATATAGCTGCGGTTTATAAGCAATTAGATGACGCCCCAAATTAAAACCCCCAAGAACAAAAAAAAAAACTCAAACCCCAGTAAACAAAACTCCTTGTTACCGTATGATTCAAGTATAAATTATATCATTTTCAAATAATTAATAGATCTAAAAAAAAAACTAAAAAAAAACCTAAACCCACTTCATATTTAATGTCTATAAAAACATCTTTGTAGGCCTACAATTGTTGAGAGAGAGAGAGAGAGGGGGTAGGGTTAACGTCCACTACACACAAACTAGGTCATTTCGGGACTAACACATGGTTCAATTTTATTTTAATATTCGCTTGAGCGTAGGGGTCTTTAGTAGTGGGAAGAAACCGGAGGACCCGGAGAAAACCCACGCGGTTGGACGGGCGACCCTACTCCCTGTTGTCACGTACAACCGAGAAATCGAAACCGCGTCAGTCCTATAATACTAGATACGCGATATGCAAAGTAGTTATGGTTTTGGGGTTATGATGATTAATTTTATATAGGAGCCAAGTGTATTTTATATTGGGAAAAAATCATTTTAATTTAGTAAGATAGATAGGCATTATCTAATAAGGAGTGTGGCACTTTGGCATTTTCAAAGTATTATTGAAAGAGTCCATGGGCTGACATTTCAAATCTAGGCATCGGAACATTAGTTATTTCGTGTATTAGTTTAAAAGTTGTTAAATACTTTTAAAATTCGACAATACTTTAGTCTAGATTAATCGTTTGGGTCAGAAATATCACATGTTTGTGACAATTGTCAATAGTTTTTGTTATCCAAAATACCATAAAACTACGAAATTCAAGCGATTTAGTTTATTGATCCGCATTATTTCCATTGAAGCCTGCGAGTAAATCAAATGCCAAGGTCACGAAAGCAACATGCAAGTTCAAGGCCAACCATCTGATACAGTTCAAAACGAATAATACACAATAAACTTATTTATTTCATCTATTTACGACTGTCTGACCATGTGCAGACTTTGTTACAACCCTCCTCATTGGTATTGTAACGGTTAGTTCAACCTGGCAAAAGTTTTCAGTTCCGAAGCGTTTAAGCTTACACCCGAGTGCCCTCGCCGGAATTGTGCACTGCGGGAGAGCAAGCAATTTTAACTTAAATCTATTAAAATGGCATTTTAAGTTACAATCGATCTTCGTGAAAGGCATAAAATTGAAAATTTCATTTTGATTTTAGTTAAAATCTATTTTAGTGATTTTAGTTTAAGTTTTTGTGAAACATTTGATGCCACCTTTCAGTTAATTTGAAACTCCACATAGCAAGAAAGGTATTCCGTCGTTTAAACCATTCATACCATTGTTGCTGCCTTGGCAATATTATAAGTTATACATGTGGAAACCAAAGGATATACATTTTATTAAATGACACATCAATGTTTGTGTTTTAAAACAAACTTTCAAAATATTATAAGATTTCCATAGTTAAATTAAATTGAAAAATAAAGGAACAGAGCATTACTTCAAACACGAAAACGTATTCTGACCTGTCTATTCAAGATATGTCTATTCAAAGTAGTCTGAAAAGTTTGGTCTTTATTATCAAGAACTTCTATTGCAGAACCTCCATGGTGATAATCTGGAGTGTTTGTCTTATATGTCTGTAATAATCTGATTGGTATCTGCTAACATCGACGTCGAGAGATTATGTCATCTACATTTTATTACTTTTACTATCTAAATAGCACAACATTGGCCTTTTGTCATTTTGCAAAAACAAAATAAACGAATCACACTGTCAGCAGATAGGTCAAATAGAACAAGAACTGAAACCGTGTGATATAATTATGACGAATGTTTATGGAGAGATCAATAAGAATCCTGTGTTACCATTGACAGGTGATATAGAACAGCTGTAACTGTAAATAATATGTTTATTAATGGCATATTACAAATTATGCTAACATGACTCTTTGATATGCCACATTGATTGATACTGAAATGGGGCATGAGCGCAGATATGTCATATGATATTGCATTTCAGCTGTATTAATTTCATTTCTATTGTTTTTAGACCATGTTGATATGTCTGAGCGTTTAGGAAGAGTGAGTTATAATAAGGATGGGTAATTCTGAATCACAAAAGATTATCTTGCCGGGTCCTCAAAAAAAAGTGATACAGGCCGCTAAAACATCAAAAGACCACGACAAGAAAAAGCCTAAAGGATCTATCTCTCTAGATGATGGTGCAGACAAAGACTTATCAAATTTAAATAAGCTTGATTTGTCGGCCAGGGTGATTGATCCAGCGGATTTTAGTTTCCCATTCGAGAATTTAGTGTTTGAGAGCGGTAGATTAAAATGTATAGCATTCTGTGGAGCCTTGGAGGTAAGTTTTTGCATTTTACAAGTAAGCCTAGTTAGTTTATCTATCTTTTAATGACAAGCCAAGTATATAAATTGTTCAGTATCCAGTAAGATGTCATCCAGTAAAACCACAGATAGAGGCTTGTCAGACAACCTCCATATCCTTCGCCGAATGTCACTGACCATGTCGGATGAGCAGTTTATATTAAAAATCGCAACGTAGCTTTTAATATTCCATAATAAATTATGCCCTGTATCACGTTCACGAGCATTCAAACGATTCTCTATTTCAACATTTTCGAACAATCTCAATTGACTCTTTCCAAACTGTTAACAGGGAAAGTAACTCGTAGAACGTGTTCGGAATATTCTTTCAGAAAATTTAGAATTTCGACAGGGTCATACTGTAGTCCACTAAGATTTTATAAAATTCCATCCAGAACTTATATTAGTTTAAAATATAAGCATGTATATATTTCAGGGAAATAACAGAAATCAATATTTTATGTATATTAATATGTATATATAAATATTACCCTGTAGATATGTTTGATGCAACAAATTTATAATGTACATTAGGAATGAAATTTAATATATGTATATAGATTTAAATAGATTTAAATGTACTTATTTATATACTTTATTTGGTTTAAATGATACCATGAAATATTTATAACTTTTTTGATTTAGTTAATTCCATTGAATATAATTTAAACAATTTATTTCATTTTGTTAATCCCATTAGTTATTTAATTTATTCCAAATAACCTTAAAGTTACTTTCCAACAAAAGTATTCATCGAGTGGTCATTTCCAATAAAAGTGTGGCAATTTTGGTATATATGGAAAGTAGAAACGTCCAATCTTACTACAAATATACCGGATTCCCTGAAAAAAAACACATGGTGCGCATACAGGACAAAATGTAAGGGTTTTCCGACGATTAGGGATGTCTGCTCGAGTGACGTCAAACGTTTCACGCGAAGATTGTCTGATCTCTCAGCGTTAGTGGCCGCTTGATGCATATGTTGATAAACTTGATGGTGAGCTTAAACGTACAACAGCCCGTGGATAAACCGAGAATTTAATAAGGCTTCGATAATTTATGATAAATGGCCAGCGATTAAAGACTTGTAAATGCAACGAATTCTCCTCCGTTGCTAGCTGACTCGTCAGCCAAGTCACGTGACGCAAACATGATTTCTATTAACACATTTTTTATAGCAGGGATATTCCCTGGCGAATATAATGTTTTGAGAAGGATTTGAAGCAAAATTTTGATAGATTAATTAGTTTCAATATAATTTTAGTCCAAATATATCATCAAGTCAACCAGCTCGTACACGGGAAGGTATCTTTAATGGTTGTACTGAATTATACCTACAGCAAATTATAGTGCTCGAGTCTGTCCTATCCTCCTCGTATTTGGGATGGATAAACGTTTATCACAAATAGAATGTCCTAGGTTAAAATCCTGGCGTGGACAAGGAAGAAACTTCATGATTTTACAAACCTGGCTTCCATTCTCTCTAGGGATGGATCCATGCCAAGGCGACTCTCCCCTCCCATCATTAACGCATGTCACGCGTAACCATATAAATGAAATGAAACGGTGTTGAACGCCCTACTGTTCTGTTCCGACTGGGCTAATGAAAACGGACAGTGGCGTTACGGATTCTTCTTATATCGAATTCCAACCGCCAATACGTCTTTTACGTGCACCTCAATGTGTAGCCTACACGAGACATCGTTTTTCGTCCCATCCGAACGACTATACGTTGTCCCTTGCCAGGCCCTCGGTCCTGCACCACTGAAATCTAGACGAACTTTCTCATCACACACGGGACCTACAGGTTAGCGAATCAACGTCTTATTCATTGAGTCACCGCGGCTCCCTCGTAACAATAGAAATATATATATCATATATGTTAGTCTCAAAATGACCTAAGTACTGCCATCACTGGAAGTTTAAGTTCCTCACATTATAAATTCATTCCTTTCAATTTGATTTCCATTTCTAGTATCTGGAACTAGTAGGATGTTTATCGAATATTAAAAGAGTGGCGGGGACTGGCTATGGTGCTATGGTGTCTTTATTGGTAGCTGTTGGTTTCTCCTGGCAAGAGATATCTGAAATGCTCGGGGTTGACATAGCTTCGGTCACAAAAGGTAGAATATGATTTTTGTTTTGTGTTTTGTAACCAGTTGTAAATAAAATTCCCCGGCCAATAAGGCAAAATTTAAAAGCATTTTTTTAAATATTTTTGTATGTAACCATCGATACCCGGATTTAGCTCTATATTACTGATCTATATAGACAAACATTTTCTATAGATTCTTGAACGGTTACCCTTTCCAAAAATAAAATAAGAAATATACGAATATGTGGCTAATGGTAACTGTGTTTAATCTGTAAAATAATATTTGTAAATAATGAATGATATTAGCAAAAAACAGATTTTGATACATATGTGGCACTTTTCTTCAGGTGGTTTATTTGGAGGAGGAGGGTTACTATCTGGTGTTTTACGTGGTCTTGGTGTGACATCGTATGGTGACGACATCAATAATAAATTAGGTCGATGGCTGAAAGAAAAATGTGGCGATCAGGATATTACATTTCAACAGGTTTGAAGGGCTAATGATAACCCGATTTATTAAAGATTCGATAACCAAAATGCCAGATGTTCAACAAATACTTCATTTGTAATTAGAATACAATTCAGAGGCGTAGGTGTCAATGTCATTCAAGATATAAGTGTGGGAGCGTACACAGTTAAAAATGGGTGTAATTAAAAAAAACTATAAGCAGTGTTAATTAAGTGTAAACTTTACCCCAGAGCTAGCGTTTTTAAAATGTAATACTTTTGCATGGGTAACCAACTAAAAGAACTACACGTAACAAGTGTAACCAATATTCATGACTACTGAACACCTGATTAGGTGTAATTGTGGAGTGTTTTGGATAAGCTACACCACTACCAGTGTTATACTGCATTTACACCAAAGGGTGTAACCATTATTGGGGAATAATTCATAGAAAAGCGTTAACTTTACAGCGTTTATTGGGTTGCAAAAGTGTAATCGATATTCATGAATACTGAACACCAGGATAGGTGTAATTGTAGCCGCTAAAGGGTGTTTGGGATGAGCTACAACTCTACAAGCGTTTTACACCTTATTCCTACGAATAAGGTGCCAATTTACACCTTATTCCTACGAATAAGGTGACAATGTTACACCTTATTTTGCGTTACAAAAGTATTTGTTTACTAATTGCACGAGTAACACAAATATAACTGATTTTAGAGTGTTTACTCAAACGAGTAAAATATAAATTATTTTAGCTTGTATACACTTAAAGAGGTATAAATGCTCAGAAATATTACCAAGTATAATATCTTAATTAATAATTCTTAATTCAGGTGAGGTGCGTAATTGAATAAACCACATGCGACTATATGTGTATTGATTTTTCCTCATAATTTATATTCATTGTTAATTGATACAGATTGTCTAATTGCCCAACAGCAGTTGAATTTGAATCAGTCTGAAGGGTATTTATCAATTTAATGTCGTTGTAATATGAAGCGAAATAGCCGACGGTCTATATGTAATCTGGGTCGGGCTAAACGCCATATACTAATTATCATAGAGACCGATAGCCAATTCAAGTTTTCTAAACTTAGAAGTCCTTGGCTTGAAATAAATATCCAATAAAACAAATTATACCCGCGTTGGTGTAATAATTACAATGGAAGTGTATTTTACAAAACATCCTTGAGGGGTAATGCTTAAGGATGGGTTCCCGCGTACAAACTGGGTGATTTAATAATATATATATGGACTAAAAACATATTCAAACTAATTAATTTGTCATAACTTTGCTTCAAATCCTTCTCAAACATTGTAATTGCGAAGGAATGTCCTGCTATAAAAATTCGATCAAACCAGGTCATGTTTACGTCACGTGACTTACCTCTCTTTAAAGTCAGAGGAGAATTCATTGCATACATAAGACGGTGTTGTCTTTAATCGCTTACTATTTATTACAAATATCGAATCCTAATTAAATTCTCGGATTATCCACTACCCGCGTCTTTTTCCATCATTTTTATCTCAGAAAATGTTGTACGTCTAACTCTTCATAAAGTTTATTAACTTGTACATCAAGCACTCAATGTTCGCGTGTGACCTTTGACATCACGCGTGCAGAAATTCCTAATCGTCGGGTTGTTGATTACGGAAACCCTTACATTTTTGTCCTGTATACGCTCCATGAGTGTTTTTCTGGGAATCCAGTATTTTTCTAGTAAGATTGGATATCTCTACTTTCAATATATACCAAAATTACCATACTTTTATTGGAAATAACCACCCGATAAATACTTTTCAGGGAACCCATCTTTAATCTACACCCACGGGTGTAAACTACAATGTATGTAAGTGTAACATTACACTGTCTGAGTGCATCAGGCATGTTACACTACTGGTGTAATGTTCTACACTAGTTGGGTGTTATCGGCTTACACCACTAAAGGCTAGGAGTTACCCCTATTTAGGTGGCAACTAGTTTCCGCCCGAATTGGTGTAAACTACCTTATTATTTTTAACTGTGTACGCCAATATAACATTATTATATTGTTTGTTGTGCTATGCTGGGTATATGATATGTGTTGCCCAGGCAGCAAGCAACGTGTGGATCTCTGATTTACATCCTAACCGAACGGCTAGTTAACAATTTAGTTGTCGCATCTCCTAACAAGTGGAAATAGGTTCTGAAATATCCCTACTCCTGTCCCTGGTGATATTAAAATGTCCGCTTGGCTTTTTTTAATACTTACTTCTAGAGGCTATATTATGCGAGATATTATTATTGATTATGATTTATAAAAAAGCATTACCGTTTGAGTATACATGTATTATGTTGCATATCGTGAGAGGGAGATTCCGGGTGCATGGCGGAAACCGACGAAGTTTGAACAGTTTTTTTTTGTTTTTTTACTTTTCTCTCCAGATTTTCGAGAAGTATAAAAAAGAGTTATGTATTGTAGTTACGAATGTTAATCTGATGTGTATAGACTACTTTCATGTTAAAACAACACCCAATCTACCTGTTAGAACAGCCGTTCAGATGTCCTTAACTATACCAGGTAAATTATATCATATTGGAGCAAAATCAGAGGGACCGAATCTTGCCATGGCCCTGACGAGCTTCGTTGCTATTTTAGTTTCTATTAGACTACGTTCTGTCTCTCATTTCGAAGAAATATTAAGGCAATAGATCTCATGACAATAGACACGGTGTAAAGACACGGTGTAAAGACGCGGTTTTTATTTTATAGTCCACTGTAAATATCTATTCTAGTCGCCAAATTACACGTTTAGTTACATTTATATTACAGGAGCATACATACCAAAGTTAGAACCAGTCAATGGTATAGAATATCTCTATGTTCATGGTGGTGTTTTATGTACGTACCCTGTTCACTGCTTTGATGGTAAGTAAAAAAATCAAAATGCACAGCACGCTAATGAATTAGTAATTATCCGAATGATCTAATCTAATCTACAGCATGTATTTAAACGTTTTGCTGTATCCGAAAAATCACACTAAAAAACATATGACATGATTTGTAAGATAAATAGTATTGACTCGTAATATATAATATCTCGCAATGATGTTTGGTTCTCTGTGTTTATGCTTCTAGGTTGGTTTTTGTCAATGAATCCTGAAAACAGATTAATACAGAAATTGTTTCCACTAAATGATTCAGTTGTTGATAAAAAGATAAAATTTAAACAGTTCAATGATAAAACATTAGGTTTTTCAGTGGTATGTCTTTTATCCCATTAAATATTACACATATTTAAGATTTCTCCTTTAACACCGAGAGAGAGAGAGAGAGAGAGAGAGAGAGAGAGAGAGGGTAACGTCCACTCGACACAAACTAGGTCATTTCGGGACTAACACATGGTTTAATTTTATTTTATTAATTCGCTTGCGCGTAGGGGTCTTTAGCAGTGGCAGGAAACCGGAGAACCCGGAGAAAACCCACGAGGTTGGACAGGCGACCCTACTCCTTGTCACAGGCGACCCTACTCCTTGTCACGTACAACCAGGGATTCGAAACCACACCAGTTGACTCAATGACAGGCCTTATGATACAGCGCGCACGTACTAACCATTCGGCCATCCAACCTCCCAACACCGAGAGGAACCTCACAACATAACTAAAATAGGAAATGCAATGAAACAAAATGGGGTTAAACGTATACTACCGTTTTTCACCAACCGGGCTACTCTTTTTTGTAAATTCAACTGTCAAAGGTTATTTTACGGGCACGCAGCGTGTACACGAGTGCTGTATTCTGTATCAAACTAATCAGCAGTAAACATTCGCTTGACCGCTACTATCGCTATTAGGGATGGCATCGGTGCGAGTTAATTAGCTCTGAATATTCATTAACTTTTTTCTTCTGCAAATTAAAGTCTAAATGTGTTGAAAGTATATCTGGATAAAAAGATATTTCGTATTTAGTGTAAATGGGTACATAAAATGGTATCCCGAGGCGTAAAATGAGTAAAGGGCATCAATTCTGCCCGAATCAGATTGCGTTTGTAAACAAGGAGCGTGCTATTGAGGCCGTATGGTGTGACATCACACGTGGGCCTATAATGCACGGGAACCTACAGATTTAAAATGGTTCGGTCTTGGTTCTATTCAACGGAAGTGTGTGACAATGGGCAAAATCGCGTGCCTAAGCTCGTGGGTTTTAAGTATGTGAGCTTTCTATTGAACTTACGCCCGATTTAAAGACGTGTATTGGGAACAAACAGAATGTTGAGACGTGTTTTATTCCTTTATCTTCAGTATTCTAACAATGAAGAAGATATGATGCGTTCTAAATTGGAATCAAGACTCGGAGTGTTGATACCACCAAGGCCATCGGAAGAAACTGATCTATATAAGTAATACATTTTATTACATTCATAATTTTAATTACAGTAATAGGTTTTTATTTTTGGTTTACGATATAGTACCATCATATCCTGCATTAATGCAATCTGATTAAAATATAGAGCTTTATTTCATTTCGTTTTTTTATACTTTCGATGGCCTCAACTACAGTGAACATAAGATCTGATAGGTTGTAGTGGGAGGTCGCGTCAGGGGTTATACGAGCTACCTATGACCCTGTGACATCAGTCATTCGATTAACAAATCAGCGTTGGTGTTCCAAGCGGCTATTCAGAAATACAATTTTTGCTATCACGTGGGTCAGATCTGAATATTATGGCCACCTGCAGATTTCGTCAAGGTCATGAGATATAAACAGGTCTAGGGCACGTGATTGTTGACGAGATTGTGGATTAGGGTAAGCGTTGAGGTTAGGGACAGCGCTAGTCCTGTTTACATCTCGTGACCTAGAAAAAATCTGCAGGTGGCCTTAATATTTAGATCTAACCCTGATGTACTGATTACAAGTAAACGGAATTTTGAAATATAATGGACGAAACGAAATAGGATCTGTATTTTAATCAGATTGGCATGAATGTTATTTAAAGCTAAAACAATTAGTATTTTTAGAGAAAATTTGAGAAACTTTTAGTTTGTATCTAGTTTGTGCCCTAATATTCTTTAATTGTAGATTACGAACAGAGACTGCTAAGCTAAAATTGGAAATTGAGAAGTCCTACATTACCATTTGTGAAGCTGTGGATAAATTTAAAAGGGTATGTATCATGATTTATACACCTCACTTCTATTCAAATTGAAGAATATTTTCCAGTTGAAATAAACAAATGGCGCATTAGCACTGCGCCTTGCGAAATATCTTATACCGGAAATGTATTCCCTATTTAATTAAAATGTTTTATATGAGAATAAGGCGTTGTGAAAACATCGAAAAAAAGTGCTAGTTTTATTTTTTTTATATATATTACAGATATTGGACGAGAATCAATTTAATGACCTGGAATTGCTGGATAAAAAGTACCTTAAAGAATCATTTCAAGATGTAGGTCAGATGTTGTTTGTTTATGCTTATATACAGAGAATACGCAACTGTATAATATTTAAATCTAATCGACAGTGTTTAAAGAGACTCTTAACTTGTAAATGTGCTCAGTTTAAATCTGTTTCAGGAATCGGCATTTACACCTGAAGATATCGTATCAGTATTTGGAAAAAGCGTCAAACTTGAAGTGTTTTTTGAAAGACTCGACCACCAAGGCACTGGAATGGTAATGATTTCCTTTGAATAATACTTTACTATAAATTCATGATTTAGCAATCACAGCTCATGACTTTCGATTCACGTTGCCTTATGCGTACCTTTTGGAGTACATAAATAAAAGTCGAAACTGAGATTCGGAACCCTATGTGGTTGTATTTGTTTAAATTCGAGTTCGACGTTGTTGGTGTAATATACAGAAAGGCATACTTTCTGTTTCGAAAATGCATTTAGGATTATTACTGGTCTTAGTTTTATTTGCACAAATTCAGAACCATGTGAAGATTTCGAAAGTAAGGGGGTACGTTTGTCGCGATTTCTTCATCAATCTGTGGTCAAATGCGCGCACTGTCGATCATAATAAGAGCCACCATCTATGCAAGTGTCATGGGTTAGATCACACCCGTGTACGTGACAATGAGTGGCGGTCATTTTCTTTTTCACTCGAATTTTCAAAATGAATCAATCATTAACTAAAACGAATTTGCCACAAAACTCCACTTAAGTATTATAGTATTCAAAACGTAAACCGCGAGTGATTTCATTTTACAATTATACAATTATATTTTTGATACATGGTCTCATTTTCTGATGTTTGTGTCCGAAAAAACGGAAATATATTGCCCGACAAATGAATGGTTTACCGAATCTGGGAGACCCCCTCCTCCCCCAGCTCCTACGTCTACGATCCACGTGTTACCATTTTTAACAACACTTGTGCGCAAATGATTTAATGAAATAAAAGAATACTATGTTGGTCCTGAAATAATTTAGTTAGGGAGGGGTTCTCAGAAGATAACTAATCAGAGACTCAACTCTAATATCGACAGTGAAATGGTTAGTGAGTTTATAACCACGGCTTTGGGGAAAAGTGGCGCTTAGTCTATTTGACAAATTCTAGTGTTTTCTTGAATGAACATCATTGGTTTTAAAGGCATGTTCATAGAGAACATTAGATCTACTTTAAATAATAATATCTTATAATAAACAATTAACTTCGGGTGGTATGTTATGATGGAACACTAATACCTTATAATACATGATTTACTTCAGGTGGTATATGATGAGCTTATACAGAAAGTTGAGTCACATGGCGTGGATGTCGGTAACAAACTACGTGCTGTAAATAAAAAACAAACAACTAATTTCATCAGCTATATGACAATATTACAGTCAACAATTAGTCAAAATACCAGAACAGATTATATTGAGGTTTGTTTATTTTGCTGCTGTCTCATAATATCAAGCAAGGGTACCTAAGGGTATTCACAGGCACGACAATACATGTATAAGTGTAAGGGGCCGCCATAAAACATGCTAAATCGGTAACACGTAGATTCAGTGGGGGCTTATGTCGTCACCTTGATCCTATTGTGGTCAGGATAGAGACTACAGTTTTTGACGGATTCTTTTCAAATTCAGTGTGAAGGATTGGGGTCGTCGGTGAATGCACCCTATTGATATTCAGAGTTCCGCTACCTTCCGTACCAGTTATGCCCCCGTTGCCAAAAAACTTTATGGGTGCGATAGAGGCTGTAGTTTTTAAGGAATTCTTTTCAAATTTGGTGAGAAGCATTAGGGTCATGAGAGAACCAACCCTATCGATATTCAGCGTTCCGAATTAAAAAATCACCGCGTGTGAAACGTCGCTGATATTGTTATCCATATTAAGTGGTTTGTTAGTCTATTCTGTACATTATATTTTAAAGGCGAATGATGTAGACAGAACTGTTGGTATAAATACTGGTCACATTGAAACAGAAGATAATGACCTACATCCAAAAGATAAACAGTTTCTTATTGATGTAAGTATTAAAATACGGTTTTCTATAAAGAATAACTCAACGTAGAGGTGAGGTCAAAGTTTATCCCTAAAATTGAGTTTAATGCGAATTTTAAGGAATTTACCACATCTCTGCTAATAATAAAAAACAAAAAAACAATGGAAATATTGCGAAAATTCATATAAAGTTGGGTTGGGGTTTTTTTTATTTTAGAGATACATGTAATCAGAAATTGAGATTTAGATTTTCCTAGAACAGAGCGGCTGAATCAATGTTTGCTTGACATTGATGAAATACCGCCTGCATTGCGTTACAGGAGCTGATAAAAAGAAAAGATTTGACTAGTCTTCCTCGAATAATTTAAGACTAACCTAGACGTCTATATTTATTTTAATTTTACATACTGTTTCATTGTGTTCACACAATACCGGGAAACGCTAAGATCTTTTTGTTAAACTGTCTTCGATTTTGCTCTTCTCCATGCCATATCATTTCTAGGAATGTGTAATTGAAAATAGCATCGTTTGTTCTGCCTGTGTTTGGTTATGCAGTTAAATGATTTGAGTGTGAGTTAAGCCCTGTCTCTGGTCATGATATTATACTAACGTAAAATATTCACTTGGATGCTATCTATCTTATATTTTACAGAGAGGCTACAACTCGACTCGTGCATTTTTGCAATATTATGTCGCCAAAAACAAGTGTAGCAAAAGATCTACAACCATAACCCAATCTATTATTGAAGATACGTCTTAATTTAAACTTCAACAGTGGAATAGATTGAGTTTAATCTACAAGATTGGAATGAACTGTTTTTAATCTGCAATAGTGGGATGGATTGATTTTAACTTATACATCAGTAGAATGGATTGAAAGAAAATCAAGCATGTGTCGACGAATAAGCGAGTATCTTTTTAATAGACCATCCATATAAGAATGGTTCTATTAGTAAAGTTGACATTTCGGTGACTTGTGGTTCTATTAGTAAATCTGACATGTCGGTGTTCTGCGGACCCATGGCTCTATAAGTAAAGTTGACATTTCGCATTCGGTGACCCACGGTTCCATTAGTAAATTTGACATTTCGGTGTTCTGTGGTCCCATGGTTCTATTAGTAAATTTGACATTTCGGTGTCCTGTGCACGCATAGTTCTGTTAGTAAAATTCACACTTCTGTTTTGTGGACCCCGTGCAAAAGGTATTACACGGATTTAATTGTTATGCTTCACAAATTGTCATTATAAATGTGTTCTATGTTTATACGCTCAAATGTTGTCGTCACCCCTGACCGTCTGTTCACAATTCTTTTAAACGCTCTGCAGGTCAGAGTTGTTTCTTTCGGCAAGTCCTAAGGGGAATCATATATCCGTTAAACTAGTTTCTTCCTCTGTCGCCGAAACCTTCTAAACGCTCCGTGTCAGATTTTGTTATTGGGTTGGGTTTTTTTTGTCATTTTATTTCTTCGTGTCTGCTGGGATTGTTGGGCTAAAAAAGAACCCTGTCGGAATTCAGGGTCGGGCAACGATTTTCAAATTTACCGCTTATTCCAATGAAACTTGCTTGGAGTGTTCGTCTAATTATAAGGATGAAACTTATCGAAATTCAGATTTGTCCTTGAAACCTCTGACAACACCCCATTTGCTGTAATTGGGTTTATTTTTGTTGCCTGCCACTGCTGTTATATTTCTTTGATAACTGATAACTGGCTTTTGTTGTCATGGTCAGTTGTATTCATTCCCAAATGTATGTATACCACTTCCGACATCTGAAATACTATACGGCATTCTGTGAAATCCGTCATCATTTTCATGTCCCGATTTATTTTCATATTACTTCAACCAAAATCGTTTTGAGTAGTCCGTATTCTGAATATTCCGAATTACGACATCAATCATTGGATAATCCGGCCTTCAATCACCAATCAATTATCGGCGAGCTTAAAACACGTGTCGGTCTTTGTTGATTACCTTGACGTGACAAGGAGTAGGGTCGTCTGTCCAACCCCGCGGGTTTTCTCCGGGTCCTCCGGTTTCCTCCCACTGCTAAAGAGCCCCTACGCGCAAGCGAATTATTGAAATAAAATTAAACCACACGTTAGTCCCGAATTGACCTAGTTTGTGTCGAGTGGACGTTAGCCGTTAAGTGAATATATGCTTCCGTGTGTAGACAGGAATTGTCCATAATTCTTTGCGCTGTCGCTGTCTTGTATTATAGCTCGCGGTAACTATGTACGCTGTCCTTGTATTAGTGCAGCACCATCCAACACAACTTACCTTGACAAAAAAAAACTCGTTAAAAACCTCTAAAAAAATATAAGAGACCATATTTTATAATAGCTTAGCAATATCGTACTGTGACCCTTAGTAATCAATTTTTTCAAAGGCCTAAACATGCGTCTTATTTGTCACTCCAATCATATCTCGTGTACTAAATTATAAAATGGCTAGCGATATCAGTACCAATTCTTACTTCAATACTCGTCGCTTCAGCAACTAAGCGACCGAGTCGGAGCGGCCCCTTTTACTGACCGCGGGGCCCAGACGGGGGGGGGGGGGGGTCCCTGGAAAATTTTGAAAAATGAACCCCAAATATGCGATTTGGTGGCATATCTGATTATAACCTCTGTCAAATAATATATCTCATAAATCGATTAATTTACGACCATCGACCTGTGAAATTATCATATCGTCATATTATTAATTAACGTATTATCATTGTATCGTCAAGAGAATTTAACTGGTTAAAAAATGGGACTAGTTGAGAAAATTTTGACCATTTGATTAACCAGTTAGGAATATTGAATAAGTAGGAATATTTTCATTGAAAAATGCCCCATTTTTGTTGCCGGGAGCGCTAGTTGATTCCTCCTGTGATGGAAGGTCACGAGACACATTGGTACAGAGTGACGAAAGTGAAATTCATGAAAGCCTTTTGAATTTTGGATTTGTTGTTCCAGGTAAATTATTTTACTTTGACTCTGAACATTTGACACACTACATATTGATTAATGAACATAGCATTAGTTCAGATAATGAATATTCGAGTATAAGGCCAGACAAATTTAATTATGAGAATTGCGTTACCCTCGACATTTTTGTCAGGAGTGGCGGGTGGAAATAAAAATAAAAATAAAATTTGATCTTGGACGCAAAATATAGCTACCACGACAGTGTCAGGTGAATCCGATGAAATTTATGCATGAAATTCGGAATCCCCATTGCAGGATTCCGAATTCCGGCCCACACCCAGCACACTCGGCCCAGAAAGTCTATTATACCAGCCCATTCCAGACTCCAGTGATAGCGTGGCGGCCCGTTAAAGCCACCGGCCACATACAACATGATCATCATCGCTCCATGACCGGTCCAATACCCCACCCCCACCCATATAATGTTAAGCAGAAAAGGGTTTTTTTTAGACGAATTGGACAAAATTATTTTTTTCATTTCCGACCGGCCCTTCGGGCGATCGCCCGATGGCCCAATCCGCCCCTGCCTGTCATGTCACACATTATCCATAGGTACACAAACACTTTTAAATTGATTTTATCCTTATTTTGATCCATATTAATATCGTGATTTAAGAAACAGTAAGAAATGATTTTACTCGAGATCTAAATTTGAAGACATCAATAAAATGACGAAATAAAAACAATTTTATGTATTGATACAATTGGGTATTCCGTCATGCTGTATAATCGGGCATATTGTATCGACCTCATTTAAGTTATAATTTAAACAATATTCATAGAGGACAACAATACAATAATAATACAATATTTGAAATGAAAAAGGATTATATTTTTATATCAATCCAAACGTGAACAAGATTACAAATGCAGTAATTTTAAAATGTTTAGGGGCTTCTATATACCATACGTTCATATCTTTGTAAGATTTATATCTCTGTATAATTATGCAAATGTACATGTATGTATCTTTGTTGGTTTCATGTATATTTTTTATTATTTTTATTCATATATGCACATGACCTTGTAAGGTTTGTTGTTTGTTTTTTGCAATAAAGTTTCTTCTTCTATAAATAGTATGTAATATAATATGTGATATCAATAGATGTATATATAATTGATGTATTAGTCTACAATATAATAAAATACAATAGAACTCTGAAAATCAATATTTACGTATTTTCTTATAACTATACAGGTGCTGTTAACATTAATGAATTCTTAAAGAACTGAATTATAACACACACACCTTTTTTTGCTTCTGGACCTTGAGCAGTTGACATACATGTACAGTATCTTGTATATACGTAAAGATGTAGTACTGTGGTCTTTGCGATCATATTGTATCTTTAATTAATTATTAGATTCACACATTCTAGAGAAGTCATATCTCACGTACTTAAAAAAATGATTGAGTGGTTGACACCTAAAAAGATTTATAATCCAAAGCATAGATGATTCTATTTGAACCCAGAATATCATGTTATCATTTGTGTTGGAAAATTCCTATTGCATCATTTGGTTTAGTAACCAATCATAAAAAATTACGTAGTATTTGTCGCCACCCTTTCATAGTTTCGACCCCTCGCCCACCCGCCACCTCTCTCCTTGCCGTAATTTCTGATTTGAAATTTTATCAATTTGATATCTGATAATTATTAGTTAGTGTTAGTTGTATTTTACGTCCGCTTCCACCGAGGTGATATCGCAGACAAATGATAATTATAGGGAATGGGTTCATATATATGAACCCTGATAATTATAGGGAATGGGTTCATATATACATATAGTTTCTAGTTAAAAATTGTGTCTAACTACTGCAGGTAACAAAATTGAAACCATATATTGTAGACGGACATTCGCTGTGAAGTGTGTATTATGTGTTAAATTGTGTCCAGGCCGCGGCGTTTCCGCCTAATCATCATCGAATTACAACTCTCACAGGTTGTTTTAGTTGAACGCCAACACGCCTACACGGGACCTCGGTTTCCTGTCCCATTCAGGCGACTAGACATTGTTCTGTGTCACTAAATTGCAACGCTTGTCAATTCGGTACGTAGAGGCTATGTGACACTTAAGGATTCATAGCTAGGTATCCTCTTTTTTTACCCTCGAAACATTGTTTTTCCGTCGTAAAATCTAATTTTGGATAGAAACGATACAATTGAAAATAAGAATGCTCGAATAGGCTACAAATATTTGATTAGTAGGCTAGGCCTACCAATAAGATACAAGAATTGTAATGGATTTTTTATATAAAACTTACACGCCCAGGACACTAAAATGACAAAGACGTGAAGAGCTCGTTTTAACACCTAGAAAATAAGTGTACGCCTGATTTTATTATTTTTTCACGAACTACACGCTGATTAAATTAACATTAGGCTACGCCGAATCATGATTTTTATTTTATTTTTTTATTTCCGAGAGCCGACTACAAGCCTTCGACAGTTTGTTTTATGTGTACAGGTGTAAAAAAAACGTGGGAGGGTAGGGGTAGTATGAGATAACTTATTTTTATTTTGAACAGATTCAAATTTCACTTCATAGTTCATGCGAATTAATGGCACGGTTTTGCCAGGTGCCATAACCCTAATACTTCATCTTGTGACCTATGAGTATGACGAAATCTGCACTGTTTCTTAGCTTTGAGGCGGCTAAATCTATTTAAGGCCAGTTCAATTTCCGTCAAGGTCGCCGAGATGTAAATAAAATAAGATTAGTGCTCGTGATTGTTGGCGGGTTAGGGTAAGCATTGGGGCTAGGTCCAGGGTTAGGGTTGGGTTAAGTTCTAGCATGGGCCTTATTACATGTATAAGGTCCATGGTGCTAGCCCTGTTTACATCTCATAACTTCGGCCAAACTTGAGGTTGGCCTTATAAAATAGATCGAACCCATCACATGGTTTGACTAAGCGCATGCGTGAAATTTATTATGGTCGACCACCTTGCAGAAAGAATCATTCAACAGAAAACAACGCCCTCCAGTGTCAATTATCGTTACTAAGGTATGTTAAAATAAATCCCAGTCCCATTCAGGATATCAAAATGCCGAGATTTTAACGCAAATACGCCCGGTAATTGCAATTTTATCAATTACCACCATAAAGCCACTACTATTCGAGAGCGCATCTTTCACTACAGGCGTGAACAAATTATCGAGTCGTTCATTTCCGCATCGGCCATCTTGTAAATTTTACCCCAACAACAGTGAAGATCCCGAAATATTTTGGTAAACATCTACTTTGCCAATGGTTTAAAACGGTAGGTTTTTAAGTTTCTTAATCGACAAAAACACGGTGCATTTGTACTAAATAAAATCAAGAGCGTCAGTTCATTTGAAATTCTCGGTTGAATATAAATTCTAGAGAACAGCCGCAGTATTCTCCAAAACAAGGTTAACATCGCAGAGGGCGCTATGATTTCACTCGTAACTTGGGGGCGCTGATTGTCAAACCTCGCACTCCTAGCGGTAAAATACCTGCCAGGAAAAGTAATCTTTCACATTTCTGATCTGGAACCGTTGCTATTTTTGTTATTTGACTCTGAATACACCAAAACATTTCGGATTTTCCGTAACAGGGCTCTTGACCAAGAAAACAAGATGGCGTCAGTAAACAGAAATTTCGCAATTAAGTCTTCTTCCAATGACTTGGTAATCAAGACATGCTACACAAATCATTGTTTTAATTTCAAGCCCACTCCCAGGATCTGTATGTGTATGACAGCATCCAATTCGTATGAAGAATATTGGTATCCCCCAAGATCTGAGATAACTAAGATTTAATTTGTTCAAAAGTGTTGTCTACCCTTGGGACGAGTTAGGAAAAAAAATAAATAAACACAGTGGTGTCAGCCAATATTACATTTTACATAAACCCATCCCCAATATAATAATTTTAACACAGAGATAATGGCTACCGTAGACGCGTAACGAAGAAATGAGAAGTGACACAAACAAAAGGGAAACAGGTTTTCCTGAAATGAAATGGCTAATGGGGTTTAACGTCCTACTGTTCTGCTCCGACTGGGCTAATGGAGACGGGCATACTCCATACAGTGTGCTATGAGGGAAATTTTGCCCTGGCAGCGGCACTATGTCCTACTCTTATATCGAATTCCAACGGCCAAGGGAAATTCTAGTGCATGCCAATGTAGGCAAGGAACCATACTTTTTTGTTCCATCCAAATGACTAGACCGCTGTCTAGGTCAGACCCTCCGTACTTCACCACTGGCAAGGGGAAATCATGTCGGAAAATCCTGATGAACTTTTCGGCCAATGTAGGAATTGAACATGCGACCTCCAGGCTAGCGAGCCATTGTCTTACCCACTTAGCCACCATGGCTAGGGTGACCCATGTACTCTACAGAAATAAAGTCCAACGCTGATAGTTCGAGACTACCACTGAAGCGTGCACATTCGCCGTGCCGAGACCAACTTTCTGACAGTATGATACTATAAATAGCCATGGCACGCGCAATTCTCTACAAATCTATCAACTATTACAGCCGTAAAAAATTTATTGTTGACAATTTTGAATAGCAGTGAAATTAAGCTTCTTGGTTATTACAGCGGATTTAGAAATTACGTTCGTTTCATTTTTTAAATTGCTTTATCTAACTGTACCGTTAAGAACGGCATCTTTTGGTTTAGTACAAATAATATCTCTGAATCACTCGGGTTAGACAGGAACATGATACTAGCAGTAGTTTCATTTTACTTTTACACAGGGCTTGCCACGAGCAAATTGGAGGCGAGTAGATGACTACTCACGCAAATATAGACTTGCGCGAGTGAGGCGATTACATGTATTTACTCACGCAGAATGATGTGCGTGAGTAGCCATTTAAATTTCATTTGCCTAACGGCAATGCTCTTGTCACTTCGGTGGAAGCGGACGTTGAATAAAGCTATTTCACACACAATGGCAATGCGGGATCGAAGGAATTGCTATAGAAACGACAACATCCGCTCAATTTTTGATTATCCAGACACGGCAAAGGACATCCGCTTAAAAACCGCCTGGCAGTACGCGTCTCAAAGTATTTTTAGTAACAACAGGTGGCACTTGAAAGACACGCCGCGTGCGCAATAGTGCATCAATATGAAGGCATACAAATTGTTTACGGCTTTTTTATTACGATATTCCATTATTTCTGATTAAATTATTTTTTATATTTGCGCGAGTACTTAATCACTCACGTAAATTTGGTTTTACGCGAGCGTAGCGTGCGCGCGAGTAATTACTCACGTCTCGTGGTAAGCCCTGTTTACAAGGTTCTTAAAACGATTGTTGAGCTACCTAACGTGCTTATTTCTAAATTCAATTTCTTGTTCTAGCTTTCTGTTATGTTTCGTAAAAAAGTAGTCTTGATTATCCCGACCTGTCAATCAGATGTAGAATGGTCGATAGACTGGTTAAGCGAGTCTAATTTCAAAACAAGGGCACGTAACCTATCTTTTACTCAAAAGTGTCTGGATGTTATGGACGACACTTGGAACCAGTTTTCAGTCTATTATTTATAGATGATTAATGGTCATAGTTTATTAAGTACAACATGATCGTTTATTTAGTGACTATAATTGTGTGAAACTGATTTGAGGCTTGGCATATATATAAATATTGTGGCGTAATTGTCGAGATATATGGAGATATTTATTTATGGTGGGTCACCCTACCATGGCTCCCACAAGTTTTCCATATCTAGGCCTATAATAACTGACAAAAGTAGACAGCTTCAATAGATATACAGTCAATTTTCAGCTGATAATTTCTTTGAAGACGAAAAGTTGTTATATGAGACTATGAGAGGATATCTGTTCAAAACTGACAATTCATAAAAAGAATTGACTGCCACAAGATAAGAGAAAGCGAGAATTATAGAAATAGTCCGTGGATTACCTTGTTTTTATTAATACTGTACTTACAAATTTTAAGTGATAATTATAGTTTATTCCGTTACAGAACAAGTAACATTTATGTTTTGTAATCCATATTGTGAGGACGACAGCAGATCTCTAAAATCACTATTATATTAAAATTTATATTGCATACCAGTACATGTTTTTTGACTCTATTCTTGTAAATTCTGCTGATTAAAGTAGCATCCCAGTTTAAATGCAGCTATCATAATTGAATTTTCATCAATTTAAAGTTACTGACTCAAGTTGACCTTTTCTTGTGAATTAAGTTTTTACAAGTATCTTGCTCCTTGGCGCAGATTGTGGCATATTTCACTTTAGTTATAAAGATTAAAGGAAACCCCAACATGAGAACAGTGGGTAAACTTATAAGATACATGTAACAGGAGGAAGCCCAAATAATTACACTCAATTAAATACAATCAATGTCCAAATCAAGGACTAATGTAAATGTTAACAAGTAGCAGAATCCAATTTCTTTACTATCTGTTAGATCTCAAATTGACTTGATCCTCAGAAGTACCAGTATTTTTTTTATTTGATGGCTGCTTCACTGTTATTAATACACAGTTAAACACAATTCTTTGGAATACAATTACTGTTAGTTAAATACTGATGGACATTTCGATTAGGCTATCATAGTCTGTATCAAGCTTGAATTGTGACCTGTCATGGTTATTGCCAGTTTTATTACTAAACTGAAAGAATTTATTTTAACTGACTAAATACATAACCTTTAAATCTAATAAATTGTGTACAATCAAGGCTTACAAAATAGAGTTACTTCCCTTTCTATATATTTTGTTTATTTTTCATGAACTATTCCCATCATTTGTCAGTGAAAGGTCTTATTATTTATTTATGTTGTAACATCTTTGAGATAATATTTTTCTCAGAAATTCAATTGGGTATTACACATATATGGTTATTGTCATGGAAAAATTTTTATGCATGCTTTTAAAGGTACATGTACTTGTACATGTAGTATATGTACATGTAGGTCTAAATTAGTACACTCGGCAAATTGCAGAAATGCTGACTTTTTGAAGATTTTATTTTTAATATACAATTTGTTTCATCATTTGTCCACGTGAATAAGAGCCTATTCTACAACTACACTGATGTTTGTCCCAGGTGTTATTTTATATTAAAGTTTCTGTGAGTCATTTGCATTTTTCAGAAAATATAAACTTTTCTTTGGCTTAAACATACATTATGCAAGAGCTAAATCTGCCTATTGCAGCTATTTCTTTAGGCCTCAAATGTTATCTAAATTATCAATTAGACAATAACTTATCAGTACCATAATCAACTCTCGATGGCATCACTAGCCGGCAATCTTTAGTGGATTATGACCCAATTTACTGCATAACTTCCCTTCACGATTAAATCAATAAATGGATAATCGAGACTATGCTTTTTATCGTACTGACTTTAGTAATGATGATCGAGGCTAGCCGGAAATTTCAATCTCCTAAATCTCGGTTCATAGTGGATCAATTTGACTGAAATTTTCAGCAAATTGCCTTTACATTATCTATCTAGTTTTTAACTATTATAGCGAGAACTGCCAACTCGTTATCTAATCTCCCATAATGTATCTTTAATCCACACTAATTGATTATTTAATATTTGATTCAGAAATCAAAATATCCATGATATATAATCTCCCAGCTTGGATTCAATTGGGGTAAAAGGTGGTCCTTCAAAATATTTCATTGACAATCATGTTGCCATGGCTTGTGTTGACTATATCTGATTTTTCGCCTGCATTGAAATGGATGTCAAATGTTGACAAATTTTCAATTCATCATATACATGTATCTGTAAATACTGAATGGAGTTTTTTGACTGATATTCCTTTTAGAGATCCAACTTTTATAATATTATAGTTAGTAGAGGATTAGCAATCCCTCAAATGACAATCAGAGACTTAAGCTTATATAATATTATGTAGCTGGGTCCATGTGTTGATTTTACTTCTTATGTTTTCAGATTGTCATCTGGTGGACTAAAGATTGAACGTTAAAATGGATGGTTCTGGAGATGGAACTACTCCACAACCACCCCAGAACCTAAATGAATTACAAAGTCTCTTGGTATCCTTTAACAAGGAAATAGAAGATCAGCCAGTTCTTCCTACAGCTAACATCGTTAATGCAGACGATCCTGTTTTCTTGGAATCGGCAGAAGGTGATGATTCTACTCCGGGAACAGTGGAAGTATCAACAGAGCAACCCTTCTCAGGATTTTATGCAGAACAGCATGGTATATTGGAAACACCTCTGCAAGAAGATAATGATAACTCAATTCCTTCAATTGTTGCGTCCTCTTCAAATGATATTCAAAATTCATCTATTACCCCAGAGTCCTTGGCATCAGTTCAGATGTCTGCTGGTACAAGTCATTTAACTGAAGATTTATTACAACCCGGCCAGGAAATGTCCCTTCAAGGTATTCAGCCACATGATTTAGCAGCATTGAGTCAGTCCAGTGGTAACGTGTTGAGAATCGTGTCTATTGGAAATGATGGTCAGATGCATATTGTCAGTGAAGAGCAACTGCAGCAAGGATCAGAAATCACATCTTTACAAACAGGTCATTTGACTGGGCAGATGTCTGACGAAAATGCAGAAGCACAACAGAGTATAATTGATGGAACCGATCCAGTAGCAGTTCTCGCATCTGTGGCAGCCAATACCTCAAGTGTCAGCCATTTGCAAACTGTTACTATGAACCAAGGTGATTTACACAACCCACAGTTAGTGGCCTTACAAAATTCAGCAGATAGTTCACAACCTCAACTGGTGGCCGTTCAAAATGCTGACGGCACATCAACAGAAGCAGTTCAGATTATTGGAGGAGCAGATGGGTCGGCCTTGAGTCAAGCTTTGTTTCAAGGTGCAAATAATTCATTCCAGACAGTAACACTTGTACCTTCTGAGACGGGGCCTGGCGGTGAAGTGAGTTATGTGCTTATTATGTCACCACCCGAAGGAGAAAATGCAGATGGTACAGGCATGTCTGTTTATGATTTCAAGGAAGAAGGAAGGGAAATAACAGAAGAAATTATTGAAGAAGATGGTAAAACAAGGAGAATTCTAAGGATCACTCCTAAGAATGCTTTTATCGGAAACGGACAATTGATGTGCACATATTGTAACTACACAAGTCCGAAGAGGTATCTGCTTACAAGACACATGAAAACCCATTCTGAAGAACGACCCCACAAATGTCACATCTGTGAGCGAGGATTTAAAACACTGGCCTCACTTACTAATCATGTCAATACCCATACAGGAGTGAGACCACACAAATGTAAGATGTGCGAATCGGCATTCACGACCTCAGGAGAACTGGTTCGTCATGTTCGATACAAACATACATTTGAAAAACCTCACAAATGTAATGTGTGTGAATATGCAAGTGTTGAACTGAGCAAATTAAAACGTCATATGAGATCCCACACGGGTGAAAGGCCTTATCAATGTCCGCATTGTACATATGCCTCACCAGATACTTATAAACTTAAACGTCATCTGCGTATTCATACTGGTGAAAAACCCTACGAATGTTTAATATGTCACGCTAGATTTACTCAAAGTAACAGTTTAAAGGCTCACAAATTGATACACACTGGTACTAAGCCTGTATTTCAATGTGAATATTGTCCAACAACTTGTGGTCGACGCACAGACTTAAAAATCCATGTTCAAAAATTACACATGAGCGAACACCCTCTCTTGTGTCGAAAATGTGGACAAAATTTCCCAGATCGTTATACTTATAAAATTCATATCAAAACCCACGAAGGTGAAAAGTGCTTCAAATGTGAATCGTGTGGTCATGCTGCTTTGTCACAGCGCCATCTTGAATCCCATCAGCTTATTCATACAGGGGAGAAACCATTTGAATGTAAATCCTGTGAACATGCATTCCGGCAAAAACAGCTGCTAAAACGACACGAAAACCTTCATCACACACCCAACTACGAACCACCGAGCCCTAAAGATAAAGCACACGAATGTCAAGATTGTGAAAAAGCTTTCGCACATAAAGGAAACCTAGCCCGTCACTTGACAAATCATAATGAAGATGGCACAGTAAACGATGAGGAAGACGAGGAAGCCACTGGTGCCGAGGGGGAAGAAGTAGAATCTATAAACTCCCTAATTGCTCAGAATATTTTGGAGAAAAACTTGATGCAGGAATGGAGAGATGGTAAATTAGGAAATGCTCAACAAGTTGTTATTGTACATCCTGATGGTACTGTTGAAGAAGTAACTCACAAACTTCAAGGTCCTCAAACTAGTCAACACTCCTGTCCACATGGAGCTGGTATTCCCCCTTGTACCCATACCCCCACAACCATACCCTCATGTACACATACATCAACAACCACTGTATCTCTCCCAATGGTATCAGATACTCCATCTATTCCAGCAACTACAAGTACAAGTGAAGAGTCCGAACTGTTAGAAGTTAAAGGTGATATTAGTGAAGAAGTCAAGCCTGATGTAAGTCAGATTATGATAAAAGAAGAACCAGGCATAGAAGTAACAGCTCCACATATTGTTATATCAGCCCTAATAGATGAGGTATGGCAAAATTATTTTTATACGCCCACATTGAAATGTATATTGTCATCACCCCCGTCCATCGGTCGGTCCGGCTAAAGGTAATAGCCAATTGACTTTAAATTTATACACAGTGTTTAAGGTTGTGAGATGAAGAGCCCAGTGATTTTCAATGATTTCCGATAATTACTAATAGAGTTATGGCCCTTGATCACTTTGAAAAATCTTGTGGATGCTCTAGAGACCAAAGTTATCATCCGATTGACTTTAGATTGATAAACAGAGTTAAAGGTCTTGAGACGAAGAAGTATATTGATTTTCAATGAATTTTGATAACTAGAACAGCTAAATCCATGATATTAAATGTTTCGTATTATAAACATTAGCATGGGGCAGAACTAAGTAAAAAGCCAAACAATTTCTAATGATTTTCGGATAATTACTTAATGAGTTGTTACTCTTAATCAGATTTTAGTGTATTATTAATGTTTCATTACCGACAATAGTAAAAATATGTATAGAGGTGGGTGGGGGGGCGCGAATGGTTAACGTGTGTGCTTTGCATCCATCATAAGGTCTGTCATTGAGTCAAGTGGCTTGGTTGTGAAAGCCTGCTTGATAGATGACACAGATTAGTGATGCCTGTCCAACCTCGTGGGTTTCTCCAGTTTCCTCCCACTGCTAAAGACCCCTACGCGCAAGCGAAATATTGAAATAAAATTGAACCATATGTTAGTCCTGAAATGACCTAGTTTGTGTCGAGTGGACGTTAAACCCCATGATTATTTTTTACTCAGACTAAGAGATTTGATTACTTGATGTTTTAGAACTTAATAATCACATGTATGAATTGAATTGAGACAGTCATGAAACTTGACAGTACAAATGTATAAAACATCAAAAATTAGCATTTTCTTCTCAGATTAAGGGGGATCACGTGGTTAAGTTGGTAAGACGCTGGCTCGCTAACTTGGAGGTCGGGTGTTCAATCCTTGCATTGGCCGAGAAAGTTCATCCCGATTTTCCGGCGTGGTTTCCCCTTGTCAGTGATGCAGGACGGAGGGCCTGACAAGGACAGCTGTCTAGTCCTTCGGATGAGACGAAAAACCGAGGTCCTATGTATACATTGGAATGCACGTAAAAGATCCCTTGGCAGTTGGAATTCGATATAAGAGTAGGCGATAGAGCCGCTGTAGGGCAAAATTTCCCTCATAGCACACTGTATGGCGTATGGAACCCGTCTTCATTAACCCAGTATAGGAGCAGAACAGTAGGACGTTAAACCCCATTTCATTTCATTTCATTTCTTAGATTAGGCAGAGTGAAAAGTAATTTGATTCCTGGATAAAAGGTAAATGTGCAAGCAATTAATGAAGTGTTATCTATTTATTTTGGGGGACATCCACCACGTCTGTCAGCTTGTTAAAATTGATCTGTTTAACCCAGACCTGTATTTTGTAGACAAAAGAAGCTGGTACACAAGCTGAACTAGAATCAGAAGGGGAAGATAGTAATGATATTGATAAACATAAAAATGTTAATACTGGTACTGATACAGATAGCAATACTCTTAATATTGAGCGTGTGGATGTTGGTGAACATATTGATGCAACCAGTCCTGACTTAGAGGATTCAGAATCTAATGATGAACAGCCTGCAATGTTTTATTCTCCTATACCGATACCTCTAGCAGATATAATCAAACCAAGCAATGTTGAAACTGATGATATTCCTATAGAACCTCAAGAAACCGAAGAAATGAAAGCTGATGTATATGTAACTGAACAAAATAAACTTGATGTTACTGAGTTAGCTGAAGAAAGTAAAACATCAACACAGAAATCTTATACTGTAGTTAAACTTGTTTCATCGCCTGATAGACAAACAAGGTATATATGATTAAAACTGATGTGAGAGATTGTCCAAATCTGACTTGTACCTCTATATTATCATGATATATATCAATATTTCTTGAGCCAATTTAACAAAATGGGTACGATCTATAATGTAATATGTTTTATTGCATGTTTTGTTTCTTATAACCAATCTGACAAGATAACGATTTTCTCTTAACAACATGTAACTTACGACCTGTGATCTAACGCATACATATTCTGTTTTGAAGAATATCATTTTCTGTTTGATGTTCATTCCAAATTAAAAGTGTCCAAACATGCACTAAAATGCATTTTTTTTTCTAAAACTTATTATCACTGGTACAGTAATATTTGCAGAGATATACATGTATAGGAAAGGCCTGAGTTAACATGATTCAAAACTTTAAATGTGACCTTACTGTGCTTGTACTATGAATTACACTTTGCTGTATTATCAGGTTTGTGCCACAAATCTATGCATAAAAACTTTGATATTTGAAGACAAGTCACAATATTAAAATAAAGATTTAACAAACCTATGAGATGAAAATATTGGATTCTCCCCAAAGTTCTCATATTAAATAAGACTGATTATTCAATCAGGTGATGTTCGGATTTAATGGTTCTTAAAGATACATTATGTAAGATTTAGATAAAGAGATAGCCATTCTTGCTATAATAGTTTGAAAATAGATAATGTTAAATGAATAATTTGAAAATTCCATTCAAATTACTCTATTGTGACGAAGATATTAGCCTTTGAAGGTTTGATTCTGGTTGTTCAAAGCTAAGTCTCGCTCCTCCATTTTTAGATTAAATCAAAATATGACTTAGAAAACATTTCAGGCCTAAAGAAAGACCTGCAATAGGCAGATTTAGCTCTTGCGTGTATGATTATTTGGAAGACATTAAAATGGCATATTAAAAACAAGATAATGCTACACATGTGTATAATATTAAATATACTCTTTAAAAAAAATAGGGGATATTGAAATTCAAATACCTATGCAGGTTGTGATATGATAAATAGTCATGGACACTTGACATGCTTTGAGAGTATGTTCACAGATGAAGAACTTGTCGCCCCAACAGAACCACTGAGCTGCATGTGCGATACACAATAGTGCCATACACGTAGGAGGGGTTCATTGTCAAATTTGACACTTCAAGGAAGGGTTGATGAAAACTGCCGCTTGCTGGCTTATCCTATCCATGTTTGCTTTCCTATCAGTTCTTGCATAAGATTTACTGTTTAGCGTATCTTTGCTTTAGTGTGTTACGCTTAATTTGATCGTCAACGTCAACTGACAACACCGCAAGAATTGGCCGTGGCACTGCAAGAGGAGTGGGTCCGATTGCCCCAAATTGTGATTGGACGGTTGATTAGGAGCATGCCAGGACGAATTGCTGAATGTCTGGGGATTGGTGGAGCAATTACTCATCATTAAGACAAAAATCAAAAACGTCCATTTTCACTTTTGACAGTGTATCTCTTTGCCAGTGAAATGGGACCTTCAGATAAGCCACCCATATGAACTGTTTATGTTCATGTGTAGGCAATTGGCCTGTTATTAACATACACTGGTTACCTCTAATAAAAACAGCAGTGCATTTCCGCAGTTTTATATTGTTTCGGAATATCCCCTACTTTTTTTTTTGGAGAGAATATATGTATGCGTGTGTGTAAGAAGAAATTGTGATCTTGGTATAAATTTATTTGTTTAATGAACCAATTAAAAGATATCATATATTGTATCTTGTATATTTTTAGAAGTATGAAAAGAAAAGAAAGTACAGAATCTCAGTCACCCGCTAAAAGAACACGAAGAGCCACAGCTGAAAAATCTTAATACAGAAATGAAATATTAATAAAACCTCCGTTTATGATAAACATACTGAAATATTTTTGTTCCCCCACCTTTCGAAGAAAGCAGAGGACTAGTGAAGTGCATTTTGTCACACTTCTTGACAAAGGGAGAGTGATAAAACGTGGTGTATTGTTTCTCTTCATCAAAACCATGACTATTCAATCACAAGCATTTTCTGCTCAGGTTTAATATAGATAAGCAGTTTGATCTCTTCATGCTTTTCAAAAAGACATGTGATTCCTTGCATCTTCTATTTATTTTGGGATTGGGGGGGGGGGGGGCATCAGCCACACTGTTGGAGTTTTTCTTTAAAGACGCATTATCACTCTCACCAAGAAATAAATATCATATTTAAAATAACCATAGATTCACCTTATTATCAAAACTCCTTAAAAAAAACTATATCTCTTCAATTTTCTTGACTAAATTGTCATAAAGTGTACATTCAATCTTCATCTCTGCAATGACTTGACTGAATTGTGATAAGCCCTAATGCCTCTTTAAATTTGATGACAAGGGATACATATTAAAAAAAATACAAAAAAATGACCTAATGATCTGGCAATTTGATGTAATTCATTAACTAACATTAATCAAATTAATGTGTTAATAAGAATATGTAAATTTTGTATTTAATGTAATATATGATATACATGTACATATGCTTAAAAAGAAAATATGAATATATTATTATTGTTATTTTATTATTATTATTTATGTTCTCTAGTTTAATATAATTAATTGTAAAATAGTGAATTATTGGGATGGGGATAAATTCTAGAATGTTTTGGAAACAGTATTAATTAGATAAGATATTTTAGTCTATTAATCATGTCCATTGTCCATTAATTAGCAAGACAAATAAGTAATTTGTTTATTATGATCAAAATGTAAGTAAATTGAGACATAGATATGTTAACTATTATACTGTTGAATTCAGTAAATAAATATTTCACTAAAATGGCAAAATTAACTACAGATTCTCTATTTTATTTCCTGTGATAAAGTCCTACATTTTTTCCACTGACCAACACTGTCATTCTATCTTTCTGCAGTGTAGTCGAGGAAGGCTCCTTTATCAGGTTAGCCCTTTGATTGGGAAATACGGCAGAGTATGTAGTCTTTGGATCTTTCTGAAATGTAGATAAGTTGTTCTGCTTAGTAAATTGACTGACTGGAATCGTTATATTAAAATACATAACACCATTCAGTTGACATAAATTAGCTTCATATAAAAAAAAGGTAAATCAGGTCCAATTAAATTAACTGGAAGATGTCAATTTCTCCCCAATCAGATGTGTTGTACGTTTGGGATGGGAAACCCATCCGTGTAGGCCTAATGCTGAATTTTGTACCCAAACCACACGTTGTCCCAACCTCTTGGGAGCCACGATGCCTAAGTGGGTAAGTTCATCGTGATTTTCCGACGTGGTTTCCTCTTGTCAGTGGTGCAGGACGGAGGGCCTGATAAGGACAGCTGTCCCATCTTTAGATGGGACGGAAAACTGAGGTCCCGTGTACACAATGGCGTGCACATAAAAATCCCTTGGAAGTTGGAATTCTATGTATGGCATATTCCCGTCTTCATTAGCCCAGTCAGGGCAGAATAGTAGGACGTTAAATCCCATTTTATTTCATTTCCTAACCTCTTGTCCATCATCAACAATCTATAATCTGAAGTGTTATATTTATTAAACAGAAAGTCCCATCAAGGATTACAATAATTACTTCCATTAGCTATTGCCCATGGTCACCATTGTCATAGTATATCCTTTGTTTACTGTGGTAAATCCCCTAAACGCTACTGCATTCAGTAGCTCAAGTTATCATCTGATTGTCTTGGATGTATGCATTGTTTATGTTAGACTCACTGGCACTTTAAGGGCTTAAAATTTCTTACATGATCTTGTCTAGCATACTAGACAAGGGATATCATGCACCATATTGTTTTTTTACTCAGTGAAAACATTTCTTTGTGGATTATCTCACATTACTCAGTAAATGTAACACCCTCCTTCTGTTTTATTGCAGACTAGCTAAGTCTCTAACTCAATATCATCCATTATTTATCAATTTAAATCAACGTTGATGCTGTGATCCTACCAGGAAAAGATGGGCTTCCGATATCTAATTTTTAAGACAAAATAAACAGTTTACCAATGGTACACGAATTGTGTACCATAATGCGTTTCAGCGCCATTTGTAACAGGGGACTCGAAGAACGAGGCTAGAAATGAAATGAAATGGGGTTTAGCGTCCTACTGTTCTGCTCCTAAACTGGGCTAATGAAGACGGGCATACACCATACAGTGTGCTATGAGGGAAATTTTGCCCGGGCAGCGGCGCTACGGCCTACTCTTATATCGAATTCCAACTGCCAAGGGATCTTTTACGTGCACGCCAATATGTTCACGGGACCTCGGTTTTTGTCCCATCCGAACAACTAGACAGCTGTCCTAATTGTCAGGCCCTCCGTCCTGCATCACTGACAAGGGGAAACCACGCCGGAAAATCTGGATGAACTTTCTCGGCCAATGCAGGGATCGAACACCCGACCTTCAGGCTAGCGAGCCAGCGTCTTACCCACTTAGCCACGTGATTCCCACAAGGCTAGACATATTCCACAAGTCATGTTAAGTGGTGACGCCATATTCTAATCTGGATTGCATGCGCAATAAATACTATCGGTATAGACTGGAGTAACCAGACGCTAGAGATTGCCATTCTATTGAGACTTCTGGGGTATTTCGCGGAACATAACTGCTTTGAAATTAGAGTAAAAACGGAAACGATTGAATGTAAATCAGTTTATTTACATTCATATTACATGCGTTGCAACCCATTTGTGTCAATTTCTAGGTCCCAAATATAAGCGATTTAGCTCCTTTAATTCTTTTACAACCCAATGTCATTAAATTTAACATTTCATAGCGTTATTATTTACAAATCTAACTTTAAAGGAGGCAAGTCTTTAACTCAATATCAGGTTCTCGCCCTTCATAAGGCGACAACCTGGCATCACGACATGATACCAATCAGCCACCATAGGAAAGGGTCCGCAATTGGCAAAATATCGAAAAACATCGAGATTTTTAGCGCCTAATTAAACGAAGACAAACATTAAAGTCTCGCTTTCAGTTTCGTTTTTAATGATCGAATAAGACCGTGGGCAGCCCACCTAGTGCGATGATTGTAACCTTCTACAGGCCCGAATACACCGACGATGACGATAACCTCAAACGGAACGAGGGCGGGCACGGGGCTCGACGGCGTTATGACCCGGGCAGGTGGCTTATAGTTTGTAATTTACCAATTTTTATACACCGACATTGAAATGTTGTCGTATATTGTCGTCGCTTGTGGACGCTCTAGAGGCTAAAATTAATATCCGATTGACTTTACATTTATACACAGTGTTTAAGGTCACGAGACGAAGAAGCCTATTGATTTCCAGCGATTTCCGATAATTACTGCCAGAGTTATGGCCCTTGATCACTTTGAAAAATCTCGTGGACGCTCTATTCGTTATAAAGTTAATATAAATTGTTTAAGGTCATGAGACAAATAATCTAAACAAATTCTAATGTTTTTTGATAATTACTTCATGGGTTATTACTCGTAATCAGATTTCATGTGCTGTAAATGTTACTGACAAAAGAAAAAATATGCGACAAAACTTGTTGACTGATCGGACGACTTAACTGCTGTGGGCGTATTTTTCGTTGCCTGGCAACCTATCTTTTATTACTTGGTACCAAAAATCTATTTTTTGAAAAACATTACTCGGCATATCTCCATACCATGCTTTTTATCAATATTTTTTCTATTCTCTATTATCGTTGATTTTAGATTTCCACCTTGTCTTGTTGATTCTGTATAAATGTGTGTAAATTGTGGTATGTTATTGTTATATTATATTTCAGTAAATATGTAAAAGTTGCGCTATAATCATAACAATAATAATTCTCCAGCAACTCACAGTTAATTCTCCAGCAACTCGCAGTTAATTCTCCAGCAACTCGCACTTAAACCTGTGTTTTTTTATTCATTGTCCAATCTTATTCATACTGAGAAAGGGGTTGTATGTTTGCAGAATGAATTCGGAAAACTATGGTTAGAAATCCTTTGCCGAATCGTTGACCTGTCAACTGTGAAGATCGGAATCTTGTTCTAAACATTTCAAGACGTTCTATTTCGGACATGATTCTTTATTGCTCGTTTCTGGTTACATTTAAAAGTAATATACTAAATACTGTATAAATGATAGCATTAATTATCACTGGTCTCAATGTATAAAAAGGTCGAAAACCATAAGACTTCGTAATCGGGGGTCATAACTTCGAGAACCCAACAGAATATAACAACAAACGAAGTCTTCGCAGTTTTATTTTGTAAAAAGAAACAGACAGAAAATTACATACAAAATATTTAAACATGCATTATGTAAGACCCAATTCTGCCTACTGTCTTTCTTTTGGCTTCAAATGTTATATAAATTATTACCGGTACTTTTAGACATTTATCCACGTGACAAGCCAATAATTAACTCTCTAGACCACCGAATGGTGATGATTTTTAATAGATTGAAACAAGATCGCCATTTGAAAATTTAATTTAAAACTGTACAACGGAGACTTTGTTTATTATAGTAACAATGGTACTTGACAATCGAGGGTATATTGTCAACACCAAGTTCAAATCTTGATAAATTCGCTCAGAAACGAGTAATTTGACTGAAATTTTCAATATATTCATTTTTCATTATCTTTGTATGAACTATTATAGCCAGAGCGGTCAGCTCTTTATGTAAATCTTACATAATGCATCTTTGATAAATAAAATAAATATGTACAGTCTTGCATTTTGTTATTGTGTTTACTTCCTAAAGTTAAATCTGGATATAATGACATTGAGGTTCAATTTCAGATTTAGAGTCAAAATCTTGCTCTGGATGGCAAAACAAGATATGGTCAGCGGCCTGGGTTGTTGTGACTACTACCAATTCAAATTTAGTTATTTCAATAACTGTGCCACTACTATCAATTTGAAAATTAGAGACCAATAATTATTTTACTAAGCTGCACTCAGATTATCATTTAAAAGTATCTTTAAATTTGAAAACTTTTTAGGACTGTATCAAATTTTGTTACTATAGTCTATAAGGGGGAGAGATTTGTACTTAAAAACTATAAACATTCAACCTATCGTTGATTTCACCTGAAAGTAATTTTCTTTTTGGAGCCCCCGATCCCTGCCCTGCCCTGCCCTCCACCCCCGCCCTCAATATACCACATAGATTATTCTTATAATATATTAATAATAAGAAATCAAACAGAAATGGATCACAGCATAAAACTGCAATGATAAAGAATGTAGCTCTATTTAGTGGGCAAGATGCTTAATTGAGAATTGATCCAGTTTCTGTAATAAGGAATATTAGTATAGAATCCAGCTTCTCCGGCATCAGCACAACCACGTCCACTAGATACAATACCGAATAAAGTATACTTGTTCCCTACCATGCACATTAATGGACCACCAGAATCTCCCTGAAATTATATCAAAAATAACTCTATAAGATTTTTGATCATTCTTGGTCTCACTGTGGTAGTATTAGTCAGAAGATTTTCCCTGGTCATGTTGATGGCAATTATTGTGGTTATTGTGATCGTTGACGGCCCGGTGCTTTTTATACGCCCACAATAATTGTGAACAATCTAGAAGCCACAATTTTATCCAATTTTGATGAAATTAAAACATATTTGTATGACCTTTCAATATTCGCGCATATCAGATCGTAACTTCCTGGATTATGGCCCTGATTATTGCTAAATGTGGGCGTATCTTGCATGACAGCGGCTTGTTGTAAAAAGGGTGGATAGATATTGATAATCTCGAACCTGACATAGTAAGACATACATTATAGTGTAGCTCACACCGCTTTTACCTTTCCAGAGATGCATCTTCCGACATATCTATCGAATTTATCCAAAATATAAGTACACAAAACAATTATTGGCCTTACCAAGAATCGACGTTACTAAAAATAAAAAAAAATTGTCAACATACGCAATCGGATAGGAAATTAATGCAGCTTTCGGTCAGTTTTATAACGGTGATTATCTCAAAAATGGAACCTATGATAAGGCTAGGGAAAGAGTTGTGTTATAGTACTGTAGACTGATCTCCAAAATGAAATTTCTCACATCTTAGTTTGGATATAGATGATTTTTTTTTTTTTTTTTTAAATATTTGTAACTGTATGGATGGATACTTTTAATAAACATTACTAATTTTTTGCCAACAGTCCTTTCCAATGTATGTCAAAATTATTAGTACACTGCAGAAATTATCCACAAATTATTTGCCTACCTTACACGCATCCTTTCCACCCAAACCATCATTATCAGCACATATAACACCAGCAGGAACAACGTTTTCTGATTCACCAAACCTAATTCTACAAACACTACTGGTATACACTGTTAAATCCACTTTCTGTAACACAGCCGGCTGAGGTCCAGTTACTGTTTGTTGGGTTTTTTTTACAAAACATAAATAGAAATACAATACATACATTAACTAAGTTGGTGGTTTATCGTAATACATACATTAACTAAGTTGGTGGTTTATCGTCTATTTCTGGTCAACAAAGTTATATAATATTTTTATATTTAGATAGTAGTATGCTACATTTTTGGAAGAACATTTTGAAATAATAGTTTTCTCTCATTTTAATTCAAATTTCTTAAGCATCATTGCTAAAGTACTTACATTTAAAGATGCATTATGTAAGGTTTAGATATAAAGCTGACCGTTCTTGCTATAAACATTCCAAAATAGATAATGCAAATTTCATTCAATTTACTTTATTCACTTTTCGAGGTTTTGACATTATGTGGTATAGATTGTTTATTATCATAACGGCACTTGTTAATCGAGACTGTCTTGAGAATAAATGTCTAAATAATAATTTATATAACATTTGAAACCAAAATAAAGACCTGCAATAGTCAGATTTAGCTCTTACATAAGACATCTTTAATCTTTGCAATTACATAACGGAGAATAACTTTAAGCTTTCGGTCAACTTACGAAATAGTGTTCCCCATCCAGCAACAGTACATTTTTGTGTTGGTAACGGTTGGCCTAACTCGGGTAGACAAATCGGTTGTGCACATAGGCTAAATGTTATTGGCCGACTGAGTGTCAAGATAGCAATGTCATTCACTGGAAAAAGAATCGAAATTACATTTTTTATGTACGGTTTCAAATTAGTGTGGAAAATTTTTTTTATAAATTTTACTTTTTAGAATATAAATATCATCTGCACACCTAAAAAAGTTTGTGCTGGAAAAATGATTGTGCCAATAGCAATATTTACGTATTCCTTAACTCCTCACGAAGAAGGCACGGTGGCAAAGTGAGGTCGCGGGGTCGATCCTGGTGTTGGCCGAGAAAGTTCATCAGGATTTGTCTTCGTGGTTTCCGATTGTCAGTGGTGTAGGGCAGAGGGCTTGACAAGGATAGTTATCTAGTTGTTCGAATGGGACGAAAACCGAGGTCCCGTGTATACATTGGCGTGCACGTAAAAGAATAGGCCGTAGAGCCGCTGTCCGGACAAGATCTCCATGGCGTATGCCCGTCTTCATTAACTAACTTGGAGCTGAAGAAAAGGACGTTCAACTCCATTTCATTTCATCCCTTCATCTTCTTCTCTCAATCAAACCCAGCCCCATCCCATCAATATACGTCATTACAAACTGTGTATTTCAAAGGGATCAAATATTGTGATTAAGCCAACAATCCCCAGAGTAAGATGGAAAACAAACTAAAATTCTTGAGATGTAGAGTGTTTAAGCCGTTTCAATAACTGGGGCTATATCTTTGCGACTAATACACAACTCCGAGTTCATCCCTCTGCGTGATATTTGGTAATAATAAATTGGCATTTTAATAAACCGGATTTTTATGAGATGGGCATCTATAGCCTCCCGGATTTTGACAAGATGAGCATATTTACAGCCTCCCAGATTTTCATGAGATGAGCACCTATTCAGCCCCCATTCTTAACCTGGTAAGATGAAGGTGGATAATAAGATAAGACTGTACACACGGTGGTGAACAAATTATCTTGATATACCTAAATTGATAGAGTCAAAGTTTTCTTCAATAGTTTTGGACATCACTTGAATTTCTTCCCAATATCGATCGTTAAAACTGTTAGTTTCCCATTTACCAACTTCCACACTGTACAAGGTATTAGTTCTGCAAAGAGCAAAATCACATAATATAGCTTTGTCTAATCTGTTTTCGTCCGTCACGACTTTTCACGATTAAATAGACCTTTGAATCTATCAGTATCGAGTGCCCCATCATCCGGGACGTCACATTAACTCTGTTGTCACCCATTCATTGTCCATCCCCAATTGCGAATGATTCTTCTGCGAGCACTACCAATGTGTACTACAATGTGTAAATAGAATCCCGGTTGTCTGTACCATCAAAACGATTAGACACACTTTCTCTTAACCAATATGTAAATAGAACCCCCGAGAGTGTGTACTATCAAAACGATCTTACACACTTTCGTTTGCCCCACTTAAATTTGGTCCCGATCAAGCATACTGTGCCACGCTCTATTTACACTATTAGTGCCAGGAGGATTCTTAGAAGGTTCATTTCAAATCCATCCGGTTATATATCCGGTATTTTCAAGTTGTTGGCGCTCCTGGTGTTGATCGGGAAAATTCATCGAGATTTGCTGGCGTGCAATCCCTTTCCCCAAAACATTAATAAAATAAAACGCGACTATCTCTGACCCTGGACTAACCTGACACAATGTGCAGCAGTGATAACTTGACGTGAACTTATAATAGTTCCTCCACAGATAAAAACACCGTTGCGTTTTATACCAACAACCCATGGTAATTCACACTCCGTGGTATTAACACCACCAACTACTCTACCGCTAGGAGCAACATACGAAATACCACAAGCTGAAATATCAGTTTATACAAAAAGTTACAAATGTGATGCTTAAATTGCTTGCGCCGGATATAATCCCTTTAAATAACTTTCATTTATTCATTTTTCAGTTTATTTAATAATCTATTGTCTAACATAAAGAAACAATTAAATGAAGACTGCGTCAACATCATTCCCGGTCTATTCCACTTTACAAATTTTTAATACTTTTCAACAGCATATACCATAGTTAACTATTCTGCCCGACCCGGTCTCACCAAAATAGTTAATTTACTTTCAAAAATTGGATCCTTTGGCAAAAACATTCTTTTCACCTCTTGCTTGTCGACCTATAGGTAGTTATGCACTGGAAGGTGAGCTTAAAAAGATACCCTGTTTAATATAAAAAAGAGAGCAAACAAGGCAAGTTTCCTGCTTGAAAAGTACATACATATTTGATTAAAATCTTGGAAATCAGAAATGTTTAGAGCAGTAAACAGACTTAAAGATGCATTATGTAAGAGCTAAATTTTTATAATACAGATCTTTCTTTTGGCCCGATATTATTATTATTATTATATTGCAGCATATTTATAGTGCTCCATTACATATAACATGTTCAGGGGCACTTTACAAAGTGATATGTTATATAAATTATTAAAGGGGGCAAATATCATCAACAGTCTTCGACATTGCAAACAAGACTTATTGGTCAATTTAAATCAACATTGATGTTATCATCTTACTGTGAAAAGATGGGCTTCTGATATCCAATATTTAAGACAAAATGAAATTTTTAAAATTGGCACACGAATCGCGCGTCAGAATGCTTTTGAGCGCCATTTGTAATAAAGCGACTCGATGAACGATTACTACCGGTGTAGACAGGAATAGCCAGTCGCAAAAGACTGCCATTTAATTTGGACTCTTCGTGTATTTCGCCGAACAGAAACGATTGAATGTAAATCGGTTTATATACATTCATATTACATTATTATATGCGTTGCGACCTATTTGTGTCCATTTTTAGGTGCCAAAGAATAGAGATTTGGCTCCTTTAGTTGGACATTTATTTACATGCCAAGCCCATAATCAACTCTTTAAGACCATCGGCCTGAACTCCGCTCAGAATGAAGTAATTTGACTGATATTTTCAACATATTCTATTTCCATTGTTTATTTTGTAATTATTATAGCGATAACTGTCAGCAATTTATCTAAATATAACATAATGCATCTTTATACTAGGTACCTTGCTCAAGGCTCCCGTGAACCTTAATTCGGCTCTTTGGGTACCTCATGCAATTGTTAACGAGCAATAATGGGTATCAAGAAAGGTACGATGTTAACTGCTTAGCACATAAACAATTATATTGGGTTTTTTAGTATTACTTGGATTCCTACGTGATTTATAGATTCGTACTTTGTATGGTTACCGGTGTCGTTGTGGTTGTTGTAGCAGTGGTTGTTGTAGCAGTGGTTGTTGAAGTAGTTGTCGTAGGCGGTTGTGTTTGTGCACCTGGAGTAACAAAAATAATACGTAATTTATCATTTTGTTAATATATTATATAATATTTTGTAAATCAACCCCATAAACTCCCAACAATAAACAAAATTGTCTCTTCGTTATCAAATAAGCATATTACCAATTTACAACCCCAAACATGCAAATAGACAGTTGAGCCATAATTCAGGATGCCGATACGAATCGTCTTCATTATACAATGAACATTCCATTCATGTTTTAAAAATCAAACACCATCCATCTTGGATATTTTATAGAGTCTTCCTCATATCTGAACGGACATTCCCATTAAGATAATTCCGCGGTACGCAGTTAATTTAGAATTTATATAGGTATATCTATAATATTAATACTGTTAATATACACATTATTAATACCTATAATAATATTAATAATGTTAATATAAATACTAATATGATGGTATCTAATATATGTGTCTTTTTATGACCAATTAAATAAAGAGTATTTTAAAGAAAAATCTGTCAAGAAACCTGACAACTAGTCAACTACATGTCCACAGAAATTATGAACGGATCGACGGGTAACAATATGCGAGATGACATAGTTTCTACTATTTCAGCCTATATTACTATATGCCACTGTCTGAATCAAAAAATCTGTAAATCTAAAAAAATTGGGGGGCTCTTACCTCCATGACCCTTCCCTAACTTTCAATAATAAAATAGCCATAAAAAAGCCAGGAAAAATCAAACATCTATTATAGTAATGGTTATTGTGAGTATGTTGAAGAAATACGTAGAGTAATGCAAGTACCTGAACAACATACAAATTCTATAACTTCCGCTGTATCACGAACAAAGCAATCTGAACTATCTTTTGCATTTTCAGTCTTTAAACATGTCGGCTGTAATATGGGACAATCTGTAAACATAAAATAATTATTACTATCCAGGTCTATATGGAAATAAACATTTTTTACCTGTTACACCAGACCTTTTGATGATGAAGGATGATAATTATGAAATCAAAAAATAACCGTAACTTGGTACTACACCACCAAACTGTAAGTTTTCTAATTGTGGGAGCCAGTGTAAATTAAAAAGGACTGGGTAAATATGATCTCTATAAGAAGCATGAGCAATAAGCCTTGCTGCAGAAATTTGCAATTTGTGTAGTTTTTCGATATGTTTAGCATGATTATTATATAATAAAGCGTACAAGTTATCAATGCGAGAAGTTAAGTTATTAAGGCATTTACAAAAGCGTTCACACAATCTGCAGCCACAGTCGGTTTCGGTTATCCAATATTTCTCAAATTAAAATATCCTAATTCACACATATGATTTATGAGGCTCTGCATTACCAGCTATGAGTCAAATATTAACCCAATGATCCGGATCGACTTTGAGGGACAAATGACACTAACACCGACTTCAATATTCAGGTTATTATCCAAATTATCTACATTTTTCTTCGATTCTATAACCAAATATTCAGTCTTTTATCTTCATTAAGTTTGAAAAAGTGTTGGCATACCCGCAGCTTTATTTCTAATATACATTGTTCTAGAGTAGATTTTGAAATATAGACGTGATCTTGTTGCTGAGTTTTAAAATGAATGTAAAGCTATGAATCATCAGAATATAAATGAAATGAAAAGCCATATTTCCTGACATTTACTCTAAGGGGAGAAGTGTATAGACTGAATACAATTGGTCCTAATACGGATCCCTGTGACACACCACAGTTATAAGGCATTTTGGGTGAGGGTTCGCCATTCGTAAATATAAGGAAGTGTCATCAGCAAAGAGTCTAATAATGACATTGTCAATTATATTAATATATCGTTTACAATATCATTAATATTTAGAAGAAATAAAAGAGGCCCGAGAATGGAGCCCTATGGGACACCAGCTTGGACAATTCCTGGGTCAGAGGATGCACCACTAGCAACTACTATTTGTTTTCTATTCTTCAAATTAAGCCAGGATATCTTTAGATGCAATTATTATTATCATTATTACGTGACCAAGATACGCTTTACACGAAGAACGGACAATGAATGTGCATGATATAACAATATGACAGAATAAGATGCAAAACAAAAAGATAAAAATGTGTAAATATAAAGAACATATATTTAGGTAAAAGTTCGAGTGAGTGGGGTGTAGGATCTGACTCCCTTAATACTAAAGTCTCACAACATATAGAATGAAATTCATGTTTAACAACCCATTTAAATAGATTATTTGTCATACACTGAAACAGACAATAATTTGTCTGAATTGAATCAGTATGTAATAAATTTATAAAGAAACCTTCCACAAAAACGTTTGTTTAATATAACTCTGTCATCGTGATGAAGATATTTACGTTCTAGTATATAATAATATATGTTTGTCAAACCGTTAAATACATTCAGATTAGTAAACAAATATATATTTAAGTATCGCTGTAAACCCTTATGTGCAGTAGAATATACTTCTAAACCTAGGTAGAGAACGACCTATTATTTTGCAAGCATTTTGTGATGAATTTGTTTTGCTATAAAAACGATTTTGCAAAACCAAAACGACCTAAATATATTCTCGTTGTGCAATAAAGATTTTCTTTTCATTGTTTATATTTTGGGAGTTTAAACATACATTATCCAAGAGCTAAATCTGTCTATTGCAGGTCTTTCTATAGGCCTGAAATGTTATCTAAATTATTAATTAGACATTAATTAACTTATCCAGACCATAATCAACTCTAGATGGCATCGCTAGCCTGCGATCTTAAGTGGATTGTGAGCCGATTTACTGCATAACTTTCCTTCTCGATTAAACGATTAAATGGATGACCGAGGCTAGGCAGAAATTTCATTCGCTTAGTTCTCGGTTCATAGTGGGTCAATTCGAATAAAATTTTCAGCAAATTGCCTTTACGTTATTTAGTTTGTAATTATTATAGTGAGAACTGCCAACTCGTTATCGAATCTCCCATAATGTATCTTTAAGTTTTAACTTGGTATATCAAAATACACGCTTTGTTATTATCGCAACACGATTTGCTGTTATCGCATACAAGTTTTTTTGGGAGTTTAAGTTAATGATATATCAAAATACACGCTTTGTTATTATCACATACATGATTTGTTGTTATCGCATACATAATTTTCCATAGAAATACATTAATATTTTTTATATCAAATACATAATTCGATATATCAATACATTATCTATTAATATTAAAACATTATTTCTTATAGCAAGTGCATAATTTGTAATATATCAAATCTGGTATACAAAATATAATATTGGTCATATATCGCATACATAATTTGTTATATCGCATACATATTACATACATAATATGTGTTATATTACATACATAATTTGTTTTATCCCAATACATAATGTGTTAATCAATCATAGGCAGTGAGGTACGGTATCGAAAAATATTCATATATACAATAAAGCATATACACAATAGATTTTGTATATATTATTATAATGATCTACAAAACTGAGTAATACTTTTATTGGTTGGTTAGGGTTGTTTTTTTTTAAAGAAAAATGTTTTATGACCAACCTCGGGGTATATTTAAGGCTTTGAAATATCTCAACTAACTTATATGTAAAATAGTTTTTAGTTTGCGTTGTCAATAAGTGTATACAGTATCTGAAAATATGTAGACAAGAACTTTTGTGTCACTCAAATAAATTGACATATTGAATCTTTAGAATCTGCCATTACGTGCAGGACTCTCATCTAATAGTCAAAATTAACTAAACCTATATTTATATATTTCAAACAGTCCCTTTTAAACGTTTTTTTGATAAATCTCTTCACAATTTTATTCATCATTTATGAGAATAATAGGCGTATTAATGGTCCACAGACCCGTAACTAAGTTCAACCCGCCAATTAACAAATGGTCTGTAAGACCACGCCGAATTTTTAATTTCTTAAAAGAATACCATTTATGAAAACTTTATTTAGAAAAGTAACTTCATCTCACCATGTGTCTTCCTTACTCAATCATGGGTTTGGAATGTTAAAATTAAACACACTTTTTGCGAGATTTCTGAATTTTGTTTGTACTCATCGTAGTATATTTAAAGGTCGAAACTATGTCTTTGATTAAGTGTTTCAAATTGTATGAGAGTTTCTTCTCAATTGACCTGTCACGCATTTGAAATGCATCCTCACGTTTACATCCAAAGGGGGGGGGGGCTATAATCCTTAATTTTTAAATCTAGCCCTTTCTTGCCGTTTATAACGTGTATATATTCTATTTCAAGCGCCTTAAATGTCGATCTTTCATTCGTTATTTTGCAATCAGTAATAATCCATACATAACTTGCATGGGAAGGTAAAAGGATGTGAGAACATTATACGTCGGCAAAAATGTTGCTTTCTAATCGTGTCGTTATTGCGGCAATTCCGAGATCTGGACTTGAAAATAGAGCCTTAATCACTTCGCAGTTTATGTCGTAACGTGATTTGGCCAATATTTTCTAGGTCTACAACTTGCAATTACCACATGGCTTGAATGAAGCACATGTTTGAATCAAAAAAAACACAACAGTATTATTTATCTCAATGTACTTACATTGAACAAGAACTTTCCAACTGAAATCACCAAAAATTTTATTTCTGTAAGCCTCACAAGAATTGACATAAGGAGCAAGAGCAGGATACATATAATACATCACAAAGCTCAGTTCTGACATCACTTTGTTAAAATTCCCTACAGTTGCTCTTTTTTGACGATAGCCATTGTTGCTATTACGAATTCCAATGTTAGAATAATAAACACTGTTCAATGATCTATCGGAGGGTTTTTGTGGATAAGAACTGACCATAACACACAAGATAGAAACCAAGAAAACAGAAACACAGGTTGAGCCTATAACCCTCATTTCGCACGTTTATTATCCTAAGCAGACGGCCACCGAAAAAAGAACAACTAAAGATGTTTAATATGTATACAGATTATATATGCCGCTCGCGCAATGAATCCATCAGCTCAGCTGAGTCATATTTTAAAAGAAATTGGGGGTGTGTGCGAATCTTTTGGCGACGTCCATTGTTTCCTTTTATTCAGGCAAACTAAGAAATTTGTTTATAGTCGGATGAGACTTTTATCTAGGACGATTGAAAAGCCCCAACCTGTTCAATTGCTGCTACAATGTCAACACACCACTCTTAATTCAACTTTACACCAATCGTCTACATGTTTACTTATTAATGTAAATACCCCATGATTTCTCGTGTATTTATTATCCTACTAAGGATTTTGAATCTTATTCCAACAATTACATGCATGAAGCTGTATACTTGAAAAAGATTACGATCAATCTATACTGGTATATGTACTCCCAAAATCTGACCCTAGAATGCGTCTTGATGCCAACAAGGTGTTCGGGTTTATTCTTTGCTGTAGCATTGTGGGTTCACGGTGGCGGTTGGCCGTTAAATTTAGAAATTGTAGTTCCCTTCGAGTTGTAAAATGAAAGTGGTGTGATCCCTGTGTTCCTCTTTCCGCGAACATCTTCCATCGCAACCTTGATCGAGAAACAATATTATTATGTACAGTTTACATTCACCTATACGTTAATTTATCTGGACAGCGTTATTCGTAACCAAAGTGTTTATGGAGAAAGATTACCTCGTAATAACAGTGTTTACGTATACATAAGGATTACAGTATTTACGTATACATAAGGATTGCAGTGTTTACGAATAAATGAAACCTTGTAACCACAGTGTTTATGAATAAACTGTATTTATGAATAGTAACCCTAATCCACTACCTCGTAGATACAGTATTTAGGATTCGCTTGCCCTACCCTAATCCCAAATAGAACACAGGACCTCTGGCAGGTTAGCGAGCCGACGTCTTACTCGCTGAGCCACTTTGTAGAAAACAAAAGTTGCTGATGCACTGACTCTTTTTTAAATTTTATACGCCCACGTTTGCCAAAACCGCTTTGAAAGCGATATATGCTTTTCGTTTTTAACGGATTTATTTCACATTTTCTGGGAAGGATCGGGGCCATGGGAGAATGAATTTTATCGATATTCAGTTTTCTACGACATTCAGTTATACCCCCTTTGCCAAAAACCCTGTGAACGTGATATAAGCTGCAGTTTTTAACAGATATCTTTCAAATTTGGTTTGAAGCATTTGGGTCACAAGAAGACGAGCCCGATCAGGGTAAAGAAAAAATGAAACCCGTAGATTTAATTGTACCGCGACTTTCCGTTCCGGAAACCACCTTTTCCGAAAACCCCGTGAACGGATGAGAAGCTGTCAAATTGTTGTTCAAATTATTGGTTTGAAGCATTGGGGTCTTGAAAGGTTGCTGAAGCACTGACTCCTCTTTTATGCTTTTAATTTTTAACGGATTTCTTTCACATTGGCTGGGAAGGATTGGGGTCATGAGAGGGCGAACCCTACCGATATTCAGCATTCTGCAACTTTCCGTTTCAGAGTTATCCCTCTTTGACAGTTTTTTTTTTCAAATTTGGAGAGAAGCATTGTGGTAATGAGAGGACAATCCCTGTCGATATTCAGTGTACCGTGACTTTCCGTTCCCAAGATCCCCCTCCCCCCCTTACCCTTTCGAAAACCTCGTGAACCCGTTAGAGGCTATAGTTTTTAACGGTTTTTTTTTCTAATTTAGTGGGAAGCATTGGGACCATCAGCGGATGAACTCATAATACGCAGCCTTCCATTCCTGAGTCATCCCCTCTATGCCGAAAACCGTGTGAACGAGATAAAGGCTATAGGCTTTAACAGATTTCAAATTTGGTTGGAAGCAACGGGTCATAAGAGGGTGATCCCTAGAGATTAAAGTTCTACAAGGATCCTAGATCCTTATCAAATTTCCTCAACAACTAAGTGTTGAGACAAAGCTGCTGTGTAGGCGTATTCCACACTTTGTGTGGTTATCTTTATTTGTGTAATAAGTTCATATATCAAATGCTCATTATCGAGCATAGTGGTTCCAACGCTTCATCTGACAGGCGTACTATCCCAGAGATCTTCAGAAAAGCATCCACCGCCACCAGAATCCCCACAAAGCCAGCGAAGTTATCCATACGTGTGGTTGGTTGACAGCATATAGAACCACACAAATTGGCTGGCCAAGTTTGCGAAATAAACCAAACTTCATCATTGAAGATGACATTTCCCTTTTTTCAAAACAAAATGGTTTCATACACAAGATGTACATGACAATTTGGGGAAAATCTCATTCTAATGAAATTAAATAAAATGGGGTTTAACGTCCTGACAAGATTTCCCACATACTTCATTGGTGCAGAAAAGTAGCTTGCTTGATAAACTATGCCGGGGTTTAAAATAACCGTGGTCAGTACCTAAGAAATGTATTTTTGTCCCAATGTTGGCTTTTCCAGCGTGGTATCACCTTGTCAATGGTGCAGGGATGGAAGGGAACGTTGTCTAGTCTCTCTGATAAAACGAAAAACCGTAGTCCCGTGTAGAAGCGTACACGTAATGGAACCCAAGGCGGAGTTTGAAAAAAGATTAGGTCGTATTGCGGCTGTCTGGGCAAAATTTACCTCATAGTAAGCCTACACTGCATAGCGTATGCCCGTCTTCATTGATGCAGAAAAGTAATTTGCTTGATAAACTAACATGTAGTTTAAATAAACGTGGTCTGTCCCCAAAATGTCCAGGGACGTTCAAATAACAACATATGATATGTGATTTGAAAATGAAATGAAATGAAATAGAGTTTAACGTTCTTTTGTTCTGCTCCGACTGGGATAATGAAGACGGACATACGCCATTACAGTGTGCTATGAGGGAAATATTGCCCGGACAGCGGCGCTACGGGCTACTTTTATATCAAATTCCAACTGCCAAGGGATATTTTACGTGCACGCCCATGTGTACATGGGTCCTCGATTTTTCGTCCCATCCGAACGACTAAATAGCTGTCGGATCCTTAACTGGTCCTCCTTCCTGCACCACTGACAAGAGGAAACGCGCCCGAAAACGTAATTATGTGATTTGAGTTCGAATACTAATAGGTTGATTATGGCAGATTTTTATGGGTTTGAACAAATTGTGCTGTTGTTGGTAATTAGTGAACATGCGTACGAATTGAACTTAAGAAGCTCGCATTCTTGTCCTGTTACCTCGTGCTTTCGTACTCTCGCTACCTCGCCTTGACGTCACGTCGAGATTATGAAATGGCCGCAACAGGCTTCCACGCTTAACCGAAGAATGCTTGCTCGTGGCACTGGTTGACTTCCGAGGCGAAAAAGCGAAATAATTATATTTTGTCAAAGTTACAATTTCATATTTTTAAGTTATATTTTTAAAATGTATTAAAATAAAGCCCTAAAATAGATGGTATCTATAAACAGTCCTACCTTGTTAAAGATTAATCCTATTAATTCTATAATTCACTATTGCCAGTTGAGAAATTGGCAAAAATATCATTTTCAACTTCAAATTCAAACGTTTGAAGATAGCTATTCCATGGTGGGGAATAGAAAACAAGGGGGGTAATTCGGAGGTAATTGTGTTATTATTTCTGGTGTGAAGATTTTTAAGTGTGAGAAAAATCGTATAATAGTGAGTTGACAACCTATTGAGCAAAAGACATAAAAATAATTATGTTTTGACTTTCTTAGAAAATATGAAATTGTAACTTTAACTTGTCGACTTGTCGGGTTGTGAATAAGTCGAAGGCGACAAGTCGACAAGACGACAAAATACAATTATTTCGACTTGTCTTGTCGCCTTCACCACCCGACAAGTCGAGACGGTAGAATGACCGCTAACAGCCACCGTAGAAATCGGTACCTAGTGGGGAAAAACTGGTGAATTAAGTACTTTAAGCCATCTGCTCGTGCATTCGCGCCGTGGGCCCCCTTTGATTACATTTCGGAGGGTTCCCTTGTACAAGAACAAAAATCGGAGTGCAGATAGAATTAAAAGACGTTTATAGCCGTAACAATACACATTGTAACGTTTATAATCGATTACTAAGAGATAAAATTAACCATTACTTTTATTATCCCGGTCACGACCTGACCTTAAATGACCATCTACGTAGTTACAATTTTGAACGTATTTATTATCCACACGACTTTCTATATTTCTATATGAGATAATCCATTAGTTGCGAAATTTTTAAGAAGTTTTATTATTAATTTAAAAATACGTTAGTGGCGTTATCAATACACCAAGTCTTTCAGTGGTGTGTCCCCAGACTTACAATTAGAGATGTTTTTGTAAATCTGTCAATTTTGTATATTTTGTGAGTCGAAATTAACTGTTAGTCATGTCCCTTCACTTTCCAATTGAGAATTGCTAATTCAGGTCAACAACGCAATCTCTAATTTTGAGTGGCGTTGGACTGAAGACTATTGTAGAAAGTTATGAACCCAATCGCTGTGTTCAGTCTATGTCTACCGTTAACATGAAGAGATAGTTGTAGGTCACCTGCTTTTAAGGGCCTCCATTCTACGATCTTACATCAGCTTAAGCAACAATCTCATTGCAGTATTACAGTCTAAGTTCAATTCTGTTTCGGTTTATTTTTATACGCGCACATGCGGGTGTCTTTTATGTCTTCACTCAAATCCACCTGTCGGTTCGTCAACGAATGACTCGTGAACGCAATAGGGCAACAATTTTTTAAAGGATTTTTTCGGATTTGTTGTGAAGCATTTGGGCCATGAGAGGCCGAACCCTATCGATTTACATGCACTTTTCCGATTTCAACGTTCCGCGACCTTCCGTTCCGAAAGCCGCCTTTTCTGAAAACCCTGTGAACGGGTCTAGGGGCTGGAAGATTGTGTTTCACATTATTGATGTGAAGCATTGCGATCATTGGAGGACGAAATCAATTATTCTCAGCGTTCTGCGCCCTTCGTTCCGAAGTTCCACCCTCTTTTTCGAAAACCTGGTAAACGCGACAAAGGGTACACTTTTTAAAGAATTTTTGTCAATCTGTTTATAACCCCAGACATTG